TGAGGCAGAAAGAGACAGAGCATGAGCAGTGGAGGGGCAGAGAGAGAGCGAGACACAGAATCTGAAACAGGCTCCAGGCTCCGAGCTGTCAGCACAGAGCCTAACGCGGGGCTCAAACTGACGACGAACCGCGAGATCATGACCTGAGCCGAAGTCGGATGCTTAACCGACTGAGCCACCCAGGTGCCCTCACCTTGAGTATTTTAGGTGAATCTTCCCTGATACAAGTATAAGGAGAGGAAGGAAAGTGCTTAGAAATTTATTGGAGAGAAATTACTTCTAGTTTGGGATGATAGAGCTCAGTCCCTCTATTTGTTCCCACAACACGTGTGTTTCTTTTCTTGTGGGCTTTATACTTTTTTTAAACTTCTGTCTTCAGAAGACCTGTCTCATTCAACCTGAGATCAGAAACTGTGTCTTAGTAAACTTTGTACTTTTAGGGTCTGGTCCACAGTAAGCATTTAATAAATGCCCTTTGAGGGGTGCCTGGGTCGCTCAGTCGGTTAAGCTTCCAACTTCGGCTCAGGTCATGATCTCATGGCTTGTGAGTTCGAGCCCCACGTCAGGCTCTGTGCTGACAGTTCAGAGCCTGGAGTCCGGTTCAGATTCTGTGTCTCCCTCTCTCTCTGCCCCTTCCCTGCTCACATCCTGTCTCTCTCTCTCAAAAATAAATAAACATCAAAAAAATTTAATACATGCTCTTTGAATTAGTAAAAATAAAGAAATAAATGACAACATTTTACTATTTAGTTACTCAAATTTAACCTTCCATATCTTGTGGCATATTTTTGCATATATTTTTCTTCTCACTGGAACACTCCCTGTGAGAGTGTTTACAGAGAGGCACGTGTGTGTTAAAATACTGGGGCCTGTTACATCAGACATTATCTGTACTCATTCTCACAGGTCAGTGAAAGGGTAGTTGGATATAAACTTACAGGTCCTACTTTGAAAACAGCATTTTCCATGGACTTCTTGTGTTTATTGTCCTTTAAGAAGCCTGGAGTCAAGCTAATTTCCGTGACTTGGAGATCATACTTTATCCTCTTGCATATTTTGGAATTGTCTCTTGATCTTTGACACTCTTCAGCTGTACAGTAACGTTGAAGTTCTCACTATCTGCTCAGCTCAGCAAGTTACGGACCCTTGGATATTTCCCCAGATTTTCTTCCCATTTATTTGTACCTGCAGCACATACTTCACACACTGAGGACCCCTCCACAGCCAACACCCTTATTTCTTTTCTTTTGTACTTTCCTTTTCTTGACCCTGGTATTTTCAGGGGAGTTTTTCCTCACCTTCCTGGTTACTCTCCTGCTCTTCAGTTTTATTCCACATGCTCATTAACCCACGTGATAGCTATTTATTTTGACTTGTAAAATATCCACTTTTATTGTCTTCATGTGACTATTGTCGAACTGTGCACAGTTTGATGGGCCCAGGGGGCATCGAGGGCACGGGGCCCAGAGTTCTTCCCTGCCTGCCCGCCCTTCCCTCCACAGCTGCATTTGTCTCTGCTTCTGCCCCAGCACTGTTCTCCCCCGGGGATGGCCTCCGCCCCTCTCAGTGATGGCCTCAGTCCTCAGGCTGCGGGTGGCAGACAGGAAGCCCAGCAGTTCGCCTGAGCCTGTTGTAGAATCTTCTGCCCACATCAGCTGGGCCCCGGCGCTGCCCCACAGCTGCTCCGTGGTGCCCGGGCCTCTGTCCCAAGCTGCTCTTCCTCCCTCTCCCCCGTCCTGTCCTCTCTCTGCTCCGGCTTTCCACATCTCCCCACGGGCTGCAGGCCATCCCAGTCGTCACCCGACATGCACAGAGGAAGGAGGAAAGCAGGCCTAGGTGCTGAAAAAAGAATCCCAATTTCATCACTTAGAAAGTTTCCTCTATGATCAGAACAGAAATGTATGAGAAAGAGGGACTGTATTTTTTCCTAATAGAAATTGAGGTGTATCACCTCCACACACTTGGAAGCTGATATCTTCTTTTCTCAGTTCCCAGAGATCTCTGACACGGACCTGGCCGTAGAGACCCACCGGCCAGAGGCTTGGACCCCACAAAGGCCCCAGAGATGCCCACGTGCTCGGCCTCCATCCTTTGGTCTCGTTCTTGCGGTCTGCTCCCCACACACCTACAGCAAGGAGCAAAGCAACCCCAGGTCCCCCTCTCTCAGTTTGGACAGGAGGCTCAGCAGGTGACCCAGAGCGGGTGTCTTGCAGGTGTTATAGGAGGCAGGGACCAGAAGCTGGGTGGCTTAGTGGGTTAAGCATCTGACTTCATCTTAAGTCATGATCTGGTGTTTCGTGAGTTCAAGCCCTGCATCAGGCTCTGTGCGGACAGCTCGGAGCTTGGAGCCTGCTTCAGATTCTGTATCCCTCTCTCTCTGTCTCTCATTCTTTCTCTCTCTCTCAAAAATAAAAATAAAAAACATTTTAAAAAAGCCCAGAATGTTTTGCATGAAAAGAAAGCAAGGAAGCAAGAGACTCTTCCGGATTTGATCTCTTGTTTCTTCACCTAGAAGGCAGGGGCACAATGGAGATTGCTCTTTTCTGCGAGGTCCCTCTCCTTGTGAGCTGTGGTGCTAGTGCCCAGAAAGCCGATGGGCCCTTCACAGAACCACTGGGGTCTCTCAGGAAAAATTCTGCCGGGTTACGGTCTGTCTGACTCTGAATAGAGTGATAGGTTTTAATCTCTCTCAACTGTGATACTATCCACCATGTTGACTTAGAAACAAGGATATTCATTGCAACAGTGTCAATCACAGTGAGTAACTGTCAACATGACAAAGGCCCCCAAAGAAGTAATTTACAGAACAAATCACTGTGTATCCACACATACAAAGTGACACCACAAAGATCTTTGAACACTTATTGGTATGAAAACATCACAAATGTTTAAAAATAAAAACAGGTAACAGTAATGATTCCTTTAAAATCACACATTTACGGGGGCACCTGGGTAGCTCAGTCGGTTAAGCGTCTGACTTTGGCTCAGGTCACCATCTCACGGTGCGGGCTCTGTGCTGAGAGTGTGAAGCCCACTTAGGATCCTCTGCCCACCCCCATGCCCCCCGCCTCTCTCCCACTTGGATGTTCTTGCACTATTTCTCAAAAGTAAATAAACATTTAAAAATTAAGAAAATCACATATTTATGTATATGAGATCACGTCCCTAGAAAACACTCTGGATGGATATTGAAATATTAGTACGATTGCCTGAGTGACATAGTAGGAGTGAGTTTAATAGTTATCTCTTTCATTGTCCATAGTCCTAATTTTTGTGCATTAAAGATGTATTACCTTATGTATTAAAACCCATAGGTTTTGTGGCTCCTCTCAGCTCCAGTGGCAGACCCTCAGATGGCAAAACAGGTCGTAAGCATGGGTGTGAAGTGTGTGGATGAGAGGAGTGTTAAGTGTCACCTCAGACAGTCCCCATCTGTGGATCAGCGTGGCCACTGGCTACTTAGCCACTGGAATAGCCCCTGGTAATATGGAAGGATTCCTGACCTGACCACCTATAATTTCCCACTCGTTCTGGCAAGCCAGAAATAGGTAAGTAAGTAAGTTGTAATAGGTAAAGGTGGCTTGGAGTGGCTTAGTGGGAGGCTGAGCAGAGACACATCAAGTTACCTTTGTCCCTCTGCATAGTTTTGATATGTTCCCTAGAAGTTTTTATGCCAGAGTGACTATTAATCACGCGAGTGTGTATTCCCTCCAGGGACAGCTGGGTGTAAAGAGCAGTTAGGACAGGTTCATCACTGCTAAGATGGTACCAGGGTTAATGGTCAGCCTGAGATTACCCTCACTCTGTCACAGTTAGATTGCTGGGATCATGCTAGCTCTCAGTCCCTGATGCTCAGAGCTCAGTAGTTCCGTGGCTTGCCAAGGTTGCATAATTATTTCAATCTGAAACATTAAATAATCATTGTAACCCTTCTTAATTATTTATTTTTTTCTGATAAACTTCATATTTGTTGTGCATAGCTTATACAATATTTCCAATTATCTCTGTGTAGATTAATGATCAAACCCAAGCCCTCGGTCATCTATGTCCTTCCCATTGATGACCTACCTTTAGCAGGGAGAGGATTATATGAGATGCTAATCAAAAAGGTATTTCGGCAAAGATTCTGATACTTGCATTTGAAAGTCATTTTGTTAGATTAATATTACTCAACTTTTCAAACTTTCTTTGTACTGAGCATGAGGCTGAGTGATAGTCACACATATTTTATTTGATGAATAATTCTTTAGTGCCAACAATACCAGACACTGTTCCAGGTGATTTATGAACATTTAATCCTCATAATAAGCTGTCGGGTTTGCCCATTTAAGGGCAAAGAAACAGAGGCACAGGGAGGTTAAGTGGTTCAAGACCATGTGATTAGTTGGGGGGGGGGGTTTGGAACACACCCCAGGCAGGGCGTCCCAAGGGATGTGGTCTTCTTCCTCCTTACATGAGGACTCCAGCGAACGTAAAACATTGAACGTTTCAAAAAGGCATAAATACCCTTTACTTTACTGTGACTCAGGGTACAAACCAAACATTCAAGAATGGAGCAAACTCCATCAAGATGCTATCCTCAACCAAAAACTCTACTCTGAAGTTCTCACAAAAGCAAGAGACAGTTCATGTAAAACTTGAAAAGCACGTGGAGACAAAGGACAATGAAGTCCCAGTTTGGAAGAGAAAGAAAAGCCCAGAAATGGATTCTGTTCACATCATCTCAGAGTAGATTTAGGTGAAAACTTGTCTCTCTTGTTCATTTCTCTTTCTCAGCTCTTTGCACATTGAAGCCTAAGAGAAGATAACAGGGATAATCTCCCTGCCCAGCATCCGGGATGCAACAGCAGTCGAATCAATACTGAGTGAATGGAGGAAGACACTGGAAAAGAACACAATGAGAACAAAAATGGCAGCCTGCCCAGCTCCTGGAGCATGTTCTGTCTGTGAGGGGCCATGAGAGTTGAGTGTCCTTATAAGGTTTTATGTAGCCCTTAGTGCTGTTCCGTCCTTGTTGGTGATCTGCCCCCCATTCGTCCGAGTGTTACATCTTTACGTCTGAGTAGATGACGCGGGGGTCCTAAAAGAGACGCACAGGTGAAGGAAGAGAAGGAACATGGTGGAGGGAACAAGATGGGGAATTCTCCAGGAGTCTAGCTCACCTTAGTCTCCAGAATTGTGCTTCTGGTGTTTGCTGTGGAGAAAAACAATATTATTGACTCATTCCCTGACTTGATGCGCCAGGGCACAGGCTGGCTGTGCTTAATGTGTGGGTTTCCAGCTTCTCCTGTTCTGTAAAATCCATGCCTTGATGTTGTCCACTCTGGAATCCTTCTAAGACCACCCACTCTCTAAGCCCTCCACCAATCCTTGTTGAACAAAACCCTTCTTCTCTTTGATGTGACTTCCATGGATTATTGACAATATTCTGCAAGGGCTCACTTTCCTGTCATCCCTCTATGTTCTTCAGATAACAAACCACAGTGGTTCATGCTCAATAGAGAAGGAAATGGGAGACCCAGAGAAGGGGGTTGGGGAGACCTTGTGTCACCCCAGCTTGACGGTATGGTGGTGACTGCTTCTTTCTCCCTTCATTCTAGGTGGGCAGCGTGGGACTGAATCTTGCCCTTGACCACCCACCAACACCTGCGGGAAAACCAGCCATGTTGCTGGTGGCCACTGGCTCCATCAGAAGCTGCTGGGAGCACAGAGCCCAAAGCCCGTATTTGAAGGCTGCAGCTTCAAAGGCACTGTGGCCGCAGCTTGGAGGACATGGCCCTGAACAGCTAAAGAAGCGCTGTGTTAATTCTTGCAAGCCTGCATGTCGCAGTGCAGATTCTCTAGATTAGGATGGTTTGTTCCGTAATGCCTTCCAAGGCACCTCCAGCCTGCAGGTCCTTTAAGAGAGGCTGTGCCATGACCCTCTTTAGCTGGGACAACCCCCTGCCCCCAGACTTTAGCTACCATACTTCAGATACCCTCACTCTTCAGCCATGTGGATGGAACTGGAGGGTATAATCAGTGAAAGAAAGACAAATATCAGGATTTCCTCATATGTGGAATTTAAGATACAAAACAGATGAACATAAGGGAAGAGAAGGAAAAATGCTATAATAACAGGAAAGGGGACAAAACACAGGAGACTCTTAAATACAGAGAACAAGCTGAGGATTGCTGGAGGGGGAGAGGGAGGGGATGGGCTAAATGGGCAAGGGGCATTAAGGAGGACACTTGTTGGGATGAGCACTGGAGGTTATACATAGGGGATGAATCAGTGGATTCTACTCCTGAAATCATTGCACGACATGCTAACTAACTTGGATATAAAGTAAAAAATAAAAATAAAAATAAATAAATAAGTAAACATGTAAAGTCCCCAAAGAAAGATTGAAATTTGAGTAGGGCCTTGAAGGTTAAATATAAAGAATGTGTTTTCATTAGTATTAATAACGAAGTTTGACTTGCTGAAATGGATAACAGTACATATTATGCTCAATTGTAAAAAAAAAAAAAAAAAAAAAAAAAGATATTCTCATTCACACCTGACTTGATTTTATCCCTTTGCCTTGTACCCAGATTCAGATTCTCCCTAATGGTCTATTCTCAACGGACCACATGTTTTTGTTTTGTTTTGTGGTTTGGTTTTTTTTTTTTTCAGCTTCTCCACGAGAACCTGCCTGCAAATATCTCCTGCTGCCCCTTGGATCCGCAGATTTTTACATCAAGGGCAAGGATTGTATTCAAACCTCTACTGCATGTATGGTGCCACTTTCTTGCAAAGATGCACCTGACGAGAACCACTCCGCAGCTCCTCACCTGTGTCTCCTGGCGGCTGGATGCTCTGGACAAGGGAATAAACCACATCCCCATCTTCAGGGTCCACTGCAGGGAAAAGACAATGGTGTACAGGGGTCCGTGGACAAGGGCCCAAACTCCATATGTGCCTTCCCAGTCCCCTGCTCAGTGACTGTCCTCCCAACCCCAACACGATTCTAAGGGTCTCTTATTGAGACTGGGCTTTGTGGGGGTGGGGCGTTCAGGCCACCCCATGGTTGTGTCCACCTGCTTTCTTCCCTTCTGGGTGCAGCTCCAGAGGCCCTTCCAGTGGGGAGACTCACCATTGACGTAATCTGGCTGCAGGTCCTCAACAGCAGGGGATGGGCTGGAGGCAGTGGACCACTGAGGGTTTGCACTGGAAGCATCTCTGCGAGAAAACAAAGTAACTACATGACAGTCTTCAGGGCAAAAGTGAGAACAGAGAGGAGACAGGCTGGAGGGAGAGTGGGGAGAAGCCAGGCAGATATGGCACTCGGCTCTGGTGATTTGGTGGCCCTTTGTCTAGACTCTCTGGGTGTGGTCTTTCAGACGTCACTTGAGGTGGGCAGCCAGAGATAAGTCACATAATCACAATGTGCTTTCTTAATGACTAAGACAACCAGGTGCCCCCTCCCCCCCGCCAATGTGCTTCCTTAATAAGACAGCCACTGATATGTCGAAAATGTTCTACTCCTCACTGTTAGCTTTTTCAAAAGTTATAAGTAAGATAATGATATTGCCTCAGCTTTAATTTTTCTCCTATAAACTCTCCTTAGAACTTCATCTACTTTTTTCTCATCAGTTTATCTCTCGCTTTCATTGATTGTACACATCTTATATTCTCCGTGAGACAATATGTCCTCTGTGGAAATAAACTCCATTTTATGCATATTTTCACACCTTTAAATATCTAACAAACCCTTTCTCATACATTGTAAGTACTCCATAAATAATCTTGGTTATGTGAATTACGAAATTCATTTAGAAATATCGAATCCTGGGGCGCCTGGGTGGCTCAGTTGGTGGAGTGTCTAACTCTTAGTTTTGGTTCAGGTCATGGTCCTAGGGTTGTGTTGGGCTCCACAGTGAGCTTGGAGCATGCTTGAGATTCTCTCTGTCTCTCTCTCTCTCCCTCCACCCCTCCCCTACTCATGCTCACTTTCTCAAAATCAAAAATTAAAATAAAAAAGAAATGTCAAATCCTATGAAGACAACACCTAGATTTGTATCCTGAGACAGCACCCTGATGATAGAAATGTAATGAATTGACATGAGTTTCACAGAAAGATACTGTGTAATTTGTGCAAGCAGAAGGAGGAGAAAGTATTTAAAATCATGAATGAAGAAGGTCTTTAGAGTTCCCAGTTTGAATAGGAAAAGTTCTCACCTGAGTGTATCAGTGGCAGAACGTCCTCCTGAAAAGCAGATGAAGGAACATTCATTTTAGAGGAGGCGACTTTATCTCTAAAAACTCTCACGCAACTTAACCACATGTTGTTACTGGCAGGATATGAGACACAGAGTGGGGATTCGGTTATATTATGTCCTGATGACTACTTCCTCCCTCCAGTGCTGTCAGTTGGACAATCCATTCTTTCCCCCCCACTGATTTGACATACGACTTTCAAATGGCATACCCCACGGGCATGGGTCACTGTTTCTGGAATTTTTATTGCTGTTTTAATTATTGCAAAAATACATGTGAACTGCTGATGACTTTACTGCTTTCTTTGTTTAGATTTTGAGAGTTCTCACTTTTTAGATGTTTTAATATTTGCAACCTCAACTCTAAAGCAGTGGTCTTGGGGTAAGGCTTGATATTGACATTCATAAGACCCAACGGGCCCTCCTTTGCACCATTGAGCTTTGTAGAGAGGTATGGAACAAGAAACATGGCGTCTCATCATGGATGTATGGGCTGTGTCACCAGAAGGAATCTTCATAATGGTCAAGGAGCTCCTTCGTGGTTCTTCACCTAAAAGCTAAGGGGAAAAGTCCACATGGATGGGAGCAGGGGAAACGGTCCATCTCAAGAGTTGCATTGCCCTTGGGGGTATGCCCATTTGTGTTTCCCATCAAGCATTTATCATCCTGCTCAGAGCCCATCTGATTTAGTGCACAGCAATCATGAAAAACCTTGCCTGGTAATACAGCCTACGCTCCAAATTTATCAGGACTTCTGGAGACAGTGTTGGAAGGCTAATGTAAGTGTATTCTCCAAAGAGAATGAGGAACTAATTTATTTTCTTCAAAGAAAGGAAGAATGACCTCAGTATTTTCTAGGAGGCCAAACAGTCATTCAACCATAAGGCAAGGCATGCACATCTTCAAACAGTATGAAATCAGTGTATGCGATCCTAGCAACTCTTTCCTGAATAAATTATTTTTAAAATGGATTGTAGTCTATTTCCTGTGCACTTCTGAATAATAACAAAATTGATGATAGCTTCCAAAAAAATTCAAAAATATTCTATAAGGTGAAAATTGTATCAACAATCTTTTCTGATCTTAGTGGAACAGGTGATTCATAACAAAACCATGAAGAAATCTAGATATGTCTATAACTTGTACATTTAAAGGAATTAAGTCTTAAGCTACTGAATACACATATAAATATAGAAAACAAAGGGAAAGAAATATATTAAATATCCTATTTGTTCTAAAGAATGGGACTAATGAGAAAAATGCAGCCACTGACAAAAGGAGAAATTTCAGAACGAGAAAGTAAACCGGTAGATGAAATAAATCATTCTAGTAGCTTCAGTTTGTCATCCAAAGGACGGATACACTATGCCATTCAAGAACATGAACAGAGAAGGAATGGAGGACTGAGTGCAGCCATGGGGGAGTGAGAAGAATCACAGGGAAGAAGCACAGGGCTCCACTTCACTTGATTCTAGGTAAGGGAATTTGGAACCCTGGATAAATTCCAGAAGACCTGCTCCCCCAAACCCCCATCAGGTGCACAGAATCTTTAAAAACCAGATAATTATACTGTATGTAAACTATTCTAGAACACACAAAACATATAAAAAGAGGGAAAATGTTGACCTTCCTTTTGTAAAAATAGAATAACGTGGAGAACAAACTCAGAAAAGATCACAATAACGACAAACCTGGCAAATGTCACACATTACCATTAGTGAAAAAACTTCAAAAGAACATTAGTTTTTCTTAAAAATGCATCATCAAAATTGGATTTTTATCGGGAATGCAAAGATTAGTCAACACTAGGTATTCTAGTATAATTTAATTAATTGATTTAATAGATGAAAGAGAAAGATTCTGTGATTATCTTCACAGGTCCTAACAAAGTATTAGCAAAAATTAAAAGTTGTCTCTGAAAAATAATCTTGATAAAATAAGAACACTGGGACTTCATTAAAGGGGGTATTTGAATATAGGATATAGCAGTGAAATACTAGAAAAATTACCCTCAAAAACAAGGGCTGGACAAGTTTATCCACATGACATAACATTTCAGAGGCCCTTGAGTGTGTAATTAGATCTGAAAAATAATTTGCTTAAAAACTGAAAAAGAGGAAGTAAATGTTTTATTGCTCTGTAGATTGTTTCTATATTTGAAAAATCTCAATAGTATATTGGTATATAACTTGAAAAAGTGAGAGAATTCATCACAGTGGATAAATTAGAAATTATTTTAGATAAACTCTCCATAGACATATTTTTATCAATTAAAAACTATAGTGAAAGAAAAAACAATGTCACAATTCCTTAGTCTTTGATGGTCTGTTTAAAAATATAACTTCCACTGGGCTTGAAAATACTGAACTACATTTTCACCATCTGGAGAAGGAATGACTAATGAGTTTCCAAACTTTCTTTCAATTGGTAGTAGTTGATAGGTCTAAGGAAACATCTTGTGACTCTGTTGCCCCCCCATGCTTGTCCTCTATCTTATAGATTAATAAATGACGCCTTGGGGCACTTGGGTGGCTCAGTCGGTTAAGCATCTGACTTCAACTCAGGTCATGATCTCAGGACTCATGGGTTTGAGCCCCGTGTCGGGCTCTGTGCTGACAGCTCAGAGCCTGGAGCCTGCTTCCTCCCTGTGTCTCCCTGTGTCTCCCTCTCTCTCTGCCTGCCTTCCTCTCTCTCAAAAATAAAACAAACATTTAAAAATTTGAAAAGAAAAAAAGTGACACCTTGCCAGACCTGGGCAAACTTGCAAGAGGAGATTTGTTCAGATCAGGAGGCTCTACCGGCAGGTTTGAGGCTTTCTGGCCAGGCCAGTGTGGACGCCGGATCTCAACTCTGCCCAGCTCTGCCCTCTACTGGCTGTGTGAGCGCCGCGGCCCGCTCAGCTTCCCCAAGATGGTTAAACCTGGACTCACGCATTATTGTTGATAATTACACATAATATGTGTAGGCTTGCCACACGTACCAGATGCAATAACTGGTCGTTGGTAACGTGTTTTGGCTGGCAGTATACTGGTAGGGATCAGTATGAGATATCACTGCGAGGAGCTTTCTAAGTTCTTTGTCTTAAAAATAATGCTACAAGAATAACGCACAGTCGTGCAGAGAGGGCAGCAGCTCGGTGGGAGTGCCGGCTGGGGAAGGTGGTCTCATGCTTCCAGGGAAGGCCGAGGAAATGGGCCTGACCTTTGTTCTAAGAACTGGAGACATTGGACAAAACGCTGACAGAAGCCCGTATACGGGTGTTGAAAAGGGGCCTGGACGGGGAAGCACCTCCCAGGCCAGGCTGGAGAGGAGAGGAGGTCCAGGAGAGAGCCCTGGGGCTGGCCCCACACGGCACTTGCCAAGTGCTGGTGCTTCGGGGAGTTGGGTGGGCTTGGGGAGTGGGGGCTGGCGTTTGTGGGGATTCGTGTGGGAATTTTAAAAAATATGGCTGCTAGGTCTTGGCCATTTAGACCTGCCTCTGGAGGTGGAGACCGTGCTCTCTCCCCTTGCATCTGAGCAAGCTTTTTAGGCATGGGACCCAATGAACTTGTGGTGGGCGTGCGTGACACTGTCATCTGAAATTAGTTGGGAAAAGACATTGCAGGCTCGATACACACTTGCTTTTGAAGTGGAAGCCACTGTAAAATTGTGAAGCGTAGAGAGAACTGATGAGATTTGGGGAGGTTCCCTCCCTCCCTTCCTTCCTTTCTTCCTTCCTTCCTTCCTTCCTTCCTTCCTTCCTTCCTTCCTTCCTCCCTCCCTCCCTCCCTCCCTTACTCCCTTCCTTCCTTCCTTCCTTCCTTCCTTCCTTCCTTCCTTCCTTCCTTCCTTCCCTCCTTCCTTCCTTCCTTCCTCCCTCCCTCCCTCCCTTACTCCCTTCCTTCCTTTCTTCCTTTCCTCCTTCTTTCTTTCTTTCTTTCTTTCTTTCTTTCTTTCTTTCTTTCTTTCTTTCTTTCTTTCTTTCTTTCTTTCTCTATCTCTCTCTCTCTCTTTCTTTCTATTTCTTCCTTTCTTATCCAATCTATATTAGTAATGGAAAAGTTCACAGCAATAAAGGCAATCCAAACAAATGGTAGAGAACCAACCTGATGTCTTGCGGAACCTGCAGTAAATCAGCAAGGCAGCAGCAATACAAGCAGGGACACCCAGCAGCCCAAGAGCTCTGTCTGTGACACGGTCTTTTCTGTAAATGCTGGTCACTGAGGGAAGAGACCAGCGCGTCAGCTTCAGAAGGTAAAGGCTTGAGTCCCGGAATCCCTGTCAATGCTATGCAGGAATGGTAGTCACACAACGGCATGTAAGTATAATGTGCACTTTCAATGTTCGTGTGGAGAAAAAGAAGTAGCTGGGCCCTGAGATCACCTTCTCCAAACTCCCATCACCTAGACCTGCACCTACCTTCCAAAATCCCAGCATGGTACGAGTGAAGATGGCCAGGGGCAGAGCCCTTGGTCATATTGCTCCTGTGTCCGGGGACCATCAACCCACCTGAGATACTGAGGGGCACTGCCTCGCTGCGCTGGGCCCCAAGACCATTGTCAGCCTCGCAGGAGTAGTTTCCAGAATGTTCTGCAGTCACGGAAAGGTTGAAGGATGCTTCTCCTCCAAAGGGGGCTGAGCTGTTCCCCAGGGCGTTGTCCTCATGGTAAAACCAGTATAGGATGGGGGGAGAGCCCCTCTGGGCCTCACATTGAAGCTCCACCATGTCCCCCTCCATGGTCAGGTCCCTGGGTGCCCTGACGGTGAGGACTGGGCAGGACACTGGGACTGAGGGAGACAGGGAGCCAGTGGACAGAGTTTGTGAGGCTGTAATAGACATAGACCCCCAGACCAGGACCTCAGCGAAGGGCCTGGCCTCTCCGACTCTCAACAATGTCTATAGGAATTTGGGAGAATATCAATTCTGGGGTCCTATCTAGAGATGGGATCATTTGTCATTCTCAATTTGTGTTTTTCTTTTTTTTTTTTTAATGTTTTATTTATTTCTGAGAGAGAGAGAGAGAGAGAGAGGACAGCATGAGCAGGGAAGGGTGAGGGAGAGAGGGAGAGACAGAATCTGAAGATAGGCTCCAGGCTCTGAGCTGTCAGCACAGAGCCCAACACGGGGCCTGAACCCACGAACCACGAGATCACGACCTCAGTCAAAGTCGGACGCTCAACTGACTGAGCCACCCAGGCGCCCCTCAGCTTGTGTTTTTCTAACACCAGTCCAGCCCCCTTTTTATTCTCTTCTAGGAAAAGAAAAGCATCCACAGTTTTAATTGCAAGGGTAACCCAACTGTGGCCTTGACTCTGGGGTTTCTGTCTGGGCTGAGTCAGAGCGCAACTCACTTCTCACAAGGACACTCAGCACCTTGCTCTGGGCAGGGCCGTGGCCGTTGTCAGCTCTGCAGTAATAGCGGCCGGCATCATTCTCCTGCACAGCTGGGACCTCCAGCTCCGCCGACAGGGAACGCTGGATCTTCCTTCCCACGCTGGTTCCCGTGGCCTCTCTGTGCCAGGAGAATGTGATGTCTCCTGTCCCTTCAGCCACTGAGCAGAGCAGGACCAGATTCCCTCCTTCGACAACCTCGCCCCTGGGGGGCCGCATCTCTAAGCTTACATTAGAGACAGGCACTCCTAGACAGACAGAAGGTGCAGGTGAGAACTTGGCCATGGAGGACTCTGGGAGCAGGTGGCACCTGATCTCAGTCTCTAACGCAGAATTGTGTGCACGGGTATTGCTCATGTAATTTACTGTAAGTACAAAAACGTAGGGAATCCGCGGTGAGTGACCTTGAAGAATGTGGATGAAGATGCTACATGCCCCAAACCTGGTCCCACCTAACTTCACGGGATCACTACAGAATGTGTGATGGGTCATCTGGTCCGTGAGACAGAAAGCATTTCTGGGGGGTGGAGTCCCTGTACAGAGTGGTGCTTTGTGCACAGAGTGAGGGGGTCACCAGCAACATCAGTCCTACCTTGGAAGAGGCACTGCTTCCACTAATGGCCATTCCTTCATTATTCCCAATTTGGAGGCTCAACATGAATTATAGCCCCTCCTCTGACTACTTAGTTCACTATGATTTCTGCTTTCCCTGATGCTTCAGCTAGCCCCCGATGCTGGGGCACCATGGTGCTTTCTAATACGTGAGTTTGTGTTCAAGCCAGCCTGTGAGGCCATCAGCAGAACCACTGGGAGCAGGTGCCTTGCCGTGTAAGAGCCCAGCCCACTGCTAAATGCAAAGGCACCCAGGGATCACTGAAGGTATAACTGATGGATATTACTTTAAAAAAGAAGAGAAAGATTATAAGGAGTGTTTAAAAAAGAAGAAAAGCTCCGAATGGAGTATTTGTCCTTCACTAACAGGAAACTTAACTTTTTAAAAGTGTATTTATTTTGAGAGAGACAGAGAGAGTGCGAGCAGGGGAGGGGCAAAGAAGGAACATCTCAAGCAGGTTCCACACCATCAGTGCAGAGCCCATGTGGGGCTCAGACTCACAAGACAGTGAGGTCATGACCTGAGCCGAAATCAAGAGTCAGATGCTTAGCCCACAGAGTCACACAGGCGCCCCCACAATTTGACCTTCTAAAAGTCAGTCTGAGATCCCTGGATCCCCACAAGCTCATCTACATGATAAACCCCAAACCAAAAACCAGAAACCCCCTGCAGTATCCTCCCGACAAAGATGTCTGGACCTGAAACAATGCTTTTTTAATTTTTCTAATAACTCCCTGGCCCCACCTCCTGCCTATACTCTGTACATCTCTGAGTGTCTTTCACCCGCTGGTTGGGGTCCAGCTGATTCATGAATGGCTTAATGAAGCCAACTCGATCTTCACATTAACTCCATTGGATACTGGTTTTTAAAAAATGTTTATTTATTATTGAGAGACAAAGAGAGACAGAGCATGAGCTTGGGAGGGGCAGAGAGAGGGGAAGACACAGAATCCAAAGCAGGCTCCAGGCTCTGAGCTAGCTGTCAGCATAGAGCCTGATGCTGGGCTCGAACTCACAAACTGCAAGATCATAACCTGAGCGGAAGTCTGATGCTTAACTGACTGGGCCCCCAGGTGCCCCAGGATTCTGTTTTTTAACAGGAGCTTTGTCCAATTGTAATTTTTATGAAATGCCCATTTCTAGCTCACTTCCCACTTTCCACAAGGACAGGAATTGCACAAGGACCCAAAAGACTAGCTGTCCGAAGTGAGGTTGCAGGACTCCCGCTGTCCCCATGCTCAGACCCACTCATACTTACTCCGCACATGAACCTGGGATTGGAGGCTCTGTTTTCCGACTGTGGGAGCCAATGTCTCTGCCTCGCACCAGTATGACCCTGAGTCTTCAGTCCACATGGCAGGGACCCTGAGCTCTGGGGAGCTGCCCCAGCCGGACCCCAGGGCTCTCCCATCTCTGAAGAAGCAAAATCTGAGCTGAGCACTTGACCTCTGTGGAGAAAGCTGGGTCTCACAAGTCAGGGTCACTGGGCTCCCTTCGGTGGGCCAGGAGGGGCTGACTCTGAGCACAGGGTGCAGAAATAGCTCTAGAAAGAAGGATCACAGTGAGATGGAAGGTTCCTGCTGAAAAGCACCCCCAGCAAACAAGACATTCAGACCAGACGTGTCCCCCTGACATTGTCTCCCCACTTGCTGTTGAACTACAGGATTCTTGTTCACATCTGGTTGAGGGGGGCGGGGGGCAGGTTTCATCTCCCGAGACCCGCCCTGCTCTGTCTGCTACCCTCCTATCCAGCCCAGCTCCTGCAGGAGGGAAGGCTTTACCTTGAACTTTAATCGTTACACTTCTTGAAGTGTCTTTCTTTTGTAACAAAAGCATAGTAGCATCAACAGCACAGTAATAATTGCCACTGTCACTCAAAACTGCTCTTTGGATAGAAAAGTTTAGGACTTTATCTGAAAGCTGTAACTCTTCTCTGTCCTTGTAATATGCCACAGTCTTGACTTTCCACAAATCCTTTTTCTTCTGGCATGTCAGATCTATTCTGTCTCCTTCAAAGACAGCAGAGGGAGCCCTGAGGGTCAGCCAGTCTGCAAGAGAGGGGGAGAGGGGACTGGACTTGCCATCTGTGTGGGGCACCCAGATGTCTGGCCTGTTTCTGTGCTGGTGAGCAGCAAGAGGGCATCCATGTAACCCCTTCCCCTTCGGCAAGATGGAGTTCCCTACCCGTGCCTTAATTACTCAGGGTGCCTCCTATTCCTTTCCCCGGGGGTTGTCTGAGTCAGCTTGGGCCACTGAAACGAAATACCATGAGCTGGTCAATGACAGACATTTATTTCTCATGGTTCTGGAGGCTAAAAGTCCAAGATCAAGGTGCTGGCACAGCTGGGTTCTGGTGGGGTCTCTCCTCCAGACTGCAGACTGCTGACTTCCAGTGTGTTTGCACATGCAGCTCTCTGGCCACTTTTCTAAAGACCTTAATTGTATCTCAAGGACCCCACCTCCTTGACCTTATTACTGCCCAAGGGCCCCACCCCCGATACCATCTGCTGGGGATTAGGGCTTCAACATATGATTTCAAGGGGAGGGGGACTCAAACATTCAGCCCATTGCAAGGATGTCAGTGTAAACCTATTTTTCTATGTGGATAGAGGAGTGTTCTGCTGGAGTCTTCCCACTCTGCTCTCTCTGTTGGTGAAGTCACACGGGGACCATTGTCCTCAAGGGACACTTTGCTTTCCTGCCTGCTCTGCTTTCATCCAGCCTTTGAAGGCGCTGCACTGTGTTCTAAATTCACATTCTGCCCCATCTTCTCACTTTGCCAGAGGAAACCGCCAAGGTCCCAGATAAGTGGGGAGTAAACTGTTTCCTGGAATGAGATCTGGTGTCTCAATCTTCAGGACGTCTCCCTTGAGTGTTTTCAAAAAAGCCCCCATCCATTCAATGTCTAAGGTGGAGCTGAGCTTTAATCCCAGGGTCAGCTCTTAGGTGACTGACTTTCATGAGAAAAAAAGTCATTGCCAAAAATAAACATCCTCCTGAGGCTGTGTCTCCCTGCAAGACCACAGTCAGCGTCTGGGACATTTGCATTATATTTTAGGGTTGTAGTTGAGGATTCTGACCTCAAGGTGAGGAACTAAGTTTTATCTCAGACAAAAATCTTCTCCCTAGCGCTCTTCAAGGCTAGCATGACTGTCAGAATCTGGAGGTTTGGTGAAAGGAGACGGAGGCCCGTCACATAAGAGATGAAGCATCTCCTAAAACACCACTGCAGAGCCAGAACCGGAGCCTTTGACAGGAGGCTCATGAAATTTATCACGATAATTTTTGGAAACATGCAATTGGCTGCTCCAGGCAGAGAACCAGATTTACCTGTTGGGGACAATCTGGGTTATAAAGCGTGAAATTAGGAGGGCAGACAAGGTGGATTGCAGAGACAATGGGATTAATTGGAGATTTTTGCCCTCCTTCAGTGATGGAGACTGGATCCTATGGAGACTCGGCTGTGGGACTTATAATCCAGCTGACCTTAAACCTCTAGTACAGACTAGTGTAGGGCGAGAATGCTGTCCAGGTAAGGGAGAGACATTCTGAGTCATGGTCAGAGGCGCCAGGAGAGGCACATGATGGGCAATCTCATGGGCTCAGGGCTGCAGCTGACGGCGTGGGCCCCCGAGTCTGTCACTAAGGCTCGTTCATGGGACAGAATGAAGGTGGGTCCTGCTCCCGGACAAGCCCCAAGCCAGAGCTCTGGTAGTTGTCCTGGCATCCCCGTTCCATCAATGCCTCACCTGTAAAGGTGAGACAAGCGTCTGTCATCCCAGGATGGCTCCGTGGGGCCCCATGACCCCATCCACCGGTGGTGGCCCCGGCCTGACCACTCAGACGCTCTTAGAGTTGCGAGGACCAGAGAGCCTGTGTCCAGCCTGCACACTCCCCCGCACCTCCCACCCTGCGGCTGTGGCTGCGCAGCAGACTGGGGCCTGTGCAGGCCGGGCACGCCCTCCTCCCCCAGCCAGGCAGAGCGGCCTCGAGGCAGGCTCTCCCAGGGGACCAGCGAACAGCAACACTGAAAGTCTCTGAGGCCTGTCCGCGTCCCACACTGCAGGACCTCGTGGGAGCCAGACCCGGAGAAAGACAGGGACAGGGGTGACTCACCCGATTTTCCACTGACTGGAGCTGTGGGGACATCAGAAACCTGAGGTTAGCCCGGAGCCTTTGCTCCCACAACTTAGAAATCTACCCTGCTAATGTGCCCCCAAACCTCCCATCACTCCCTTCTCTGTCTTCTACTCCATTATTACCAACAACCCCACCCCCCTCAGACACCAGCTGGCCCCCTTGTGTCACATCCACAAGGCAGGTGCAAACCTGTCCCTGGACGGAAGGGAGCCCTTGGGGCACGTCCCAGGGATGGATGCTCGGTGTCCAGCGATTCCTTCCTTTTCCTTGTCCCTCCCCCACCCCCCACAACCACCTGCACACCCAGCACGTCGACCACACCACGACTTGGCATCCCAAGTCGCCAAGAGTCCATCAGGAAACACACCAGTCAGAGTGTGCAGTGTAAACCCTGACAGTTGAGGGTTTTTGGTCGTGGAAAGCCCGACTTTGTGCTGACTGATGCCGAGGCAGCCACATCAGAGAATGTGATGGCTGCATGCTGTGGACAAGAGCCAGCCACCTCCCCTGCACTGAGGTTCCTTTGTTTTAGGGATCTCCATTGATTTCTGTAACTGACCATTTGGGCCACTTGGTTTTTTCTCTTCTCATGCTTCAAATTTCCACTCATCTGTTTTAATTCCTCAACAAAGAGTGAGCCCCTGAAGCCGTGGGCCCCCAGCCTCTGCCCCAATATGAACAGAGCCCCAGACCCATGCTTTGTTTCTCCCCTCCACCTCACTGTGCGGTCCCGGGGGTGCCGGGTAACTGCCAGACCCTGTAGGTAATGAATCTGTTGATTTTTCAGTTTCCTGACCATTAATACCAAAGGGCATCTTGTGGTCTTAATAAGACCCACGAGGGCTGGACCAGCCACAACCTTGCTTATTGATGGGCTGAGAACAGCACACACAGTTTTGAAAGCTGCACCCACCTTGCATGGATTCCTTTTCCCCAGCTGTATTTTATGTGAGCATCCTTCTACTCATTAACAGATATCAGTGTCTCCCGAATGTAGAGAAAGGAATCTTGTTTCCCTGGTAGCCCACGGCTCAAGGGAGGAGTCACAGCAAAGGGTGTCCATGCACCTCTGAGCCCAAACTCGGAGAGACATGTGTGCATCATTCTCATGAAGGAGAGGTAAATGTTGAAATTATGAAAACTGTATTCGTAAGAACATATTACTCTGGATTATCTAAGATCATAAGCCTTGAACATTAAGGGCGAGGACGTGTTGCCATCTTGACTTTCTAGGGACTCAGTACTTCCCCTCAGTCTCTGCTATCTGAGCTGGAAGGAAGCATTTCCACTGACCCCCGGGCTCCGATAAACCCTTAGGGTTTCCAGGAGCTGGAGACCCTGTCTGCTGCTGCCTCCATCCTAACTCAAAGTATGGGACTCACCAAGGATGACCAGCAGTGACCACAGCAACATGAGGACCCGCGTCAGCTATCCAAGAAGAGATGTCCCCTCAGCCACCAGCTGGGGTTTGTCTGCAGGGAATGGAAACTACTTTTCTAAGTAGGCTTTGTACAATTAGCAAAAAAAGGAAGTAGAAGGGCTTGTCAATGTCTGGCCACTGTCTTCTTTCCGATAAGTGCGAGAGAATGAAGATGGTCCCTCTAGATGCCAAAGAAACTGCTCCTCTAGGGGCTGATGACAGTTAACACATATGTCTGCTGGTGACTTGGAGACGGCTCTAAGTGCCTTATGCTCACAGAGTTATTTGGTACCTTGAGCAAGCTTCTGAAGAGTCCACTATCCCTGTGACACAATTGGGAAAACTGAGGCACCAGAAAAGGCAAGTAATTGACCAAGGGGACCATGGTCACTTTCCAGTAGTGACAGTTGGGAGCCAAACTCAGGTGGCCCCATTCTCCAGTCTGGCTCTCGAACTCTGTCAGATCTTACTGTGATATAAGGCTTCTCAATGTTCCTTAGGAAAGTAGGGCCATTTCTGCAGCCACACAGGGTTCTCAGGAGAAGTTTTTTTCAGCCTTCTAGAATGAGATGTTGCTAAGCTTCAAACCACTTGCTCTGGTATCATTGAAAACATCGTCCTCTTCCATATTTCTAATTTGTATTGCTTTTGGGACCATATTTCTAATTTGTATTGCACTGGGACACACTGCTCCCAGTGCAGCCACGCCGTCCAGAGCACACATCCCCAAACCCAGTTGTCACTCCCATTCTCATTAGATGTGGCCCCGTAGGCGTTGTGTGTAACAGCTCAGTCAGGGAGGCTGAATAGGCAGGTGCATGTTGCATTTTTGGACTTTATGTAGCATGAAACTTAAATCACAAAATCATAGGTATTTGTAACCTTGTAATCTGACTTATGGCGAGGTAATCAGAGACACAATGTCATCTGCTCAGGTGAATGCTCAACATTATCACTCACCATAAACGTAGTTTTCCTTTGGGAAATGTCGGTGTAAGGATGTGATGTCCTATATCATATCATCAAAGCCTTGCTTATAGCACTGTAAAAGAAAAGTGCTGAAAACACTCAAAAAGACAGGTAAAAAAAAAATCACATGTCCGTGTACTACCGAGCAGCCATTAAAAATGATTCTGTACAATATTTAATAGCAAAAAAATTTGTTCATGATCTGCTGTTAAGGAAAAAGGGGCTGCTGAATGCAATTTACTTGCTGCCCAGTCCCCTCCCCCCAATTATCCAATAAAAAATGTATGGGCCAATAAACACCAAATGTTAGTGTAACCATATTTGAATAATGTAATTAAAGGTGACTTTTCTCTTCCTCATTTTGCTTATCAGTGTGTTCTAGTATTTTTATATAATATATAGATTATAATGTATATTATACACATATAGAATATAATTAAAATATAATATAATAATATGTAAAATATTACATATTATTTATTATATAGAATATACATAGAGTATTATGTGATATATATTATTATGTATTCTATACAGTTATAGAATAATATATATTCTATATTTTATATAACAAATATTCTAGTATGTATGTAGACCATTATATGTTCTAATTTTCTACATATCTAGTGTTCTAGTATTCTTATAAAATATATAAGCATATGTTTATTTTACATTATATATTAATATATACTATAATTAATGTATATATAATTATAATATATAACATTTTAGACAATATACATTAAAATAAATATTCTATATTATAATATATAACAAATAAACGTTATATAGATAATATATATGATATAAAATAAACATATGCTATTTATAGATTTCTAAAAAATTCATAAAAAATAAGACCCGGGGGTTTGGGCCTCCCTCAGCTCAAAGTGTATCAGGCAACGCTGCTGGAACCTTCTGCGGGGCCGATGGCTCACCCATGTCTGGAAGAGGGTGAGTGTGGGCCTCCCTGGGGCAGAGTCGCACACCAAACTGTTCATCCAGCCCTTGCCTGGGGAAGGAAAGGCTCCTAGGCGGCCTGTGGGTCCTCCTTGTGCTGCCCAGTCAGGACGGTACGGGATTCTGAAGGACGACTGTGAATTAAGGAAGAAAATACAGAAAAAGTCGTCTGTAAAAGGCAGAGGAAGAGCTGGCGGTGGGGCTGGCGTGGGGCGGGCAGTAGCTATTGGTTTTTCAGACCTCTGAACAGATTTTTCAAAATGTTTGTGATTTCATCCTGTCCTGTATGGAAATTGAGTTGAGAATTAGTTCTTTTCGAAGGGTAGGGGGTGTGGAGGAGAGAAATATGCGTTGTCATAGTGAGGTAGGGGCCCTTGGGGTGGCACAAACCCTTAACATGACAGACATCTGAGTGCTCTCACAGTTGACTCAAGGCAGACATTTACATGTGGGCGGACACGACCTGGGGGCACACCTAGACTCAGATGCAAACTAGGGGCCGCAGCCAGAGGTGAGAAGCTCAGCGGTTCCTTGGAGAACAAAGTAAATTCATGTTCAAGGTTACAGTGGAGGAAGTGAAACTGTGTGTGTCTGGGGGTGGGTGGATGGTGAGGGGGATATAGGCCAAAAGGAGAGATAGAAAACTCCTTGTGCAGGGATATTTGACCACTGGCAAGATGGAGTCACAGGGGCTATGGAGAAGCAGAGTTACATAAAGACTTGAAAGCCTCTCGGACAGACCCGGTAGACCCTCAACTTGGAGATTCTGCACAAGGGTACTCTGTCACACACAGAGCCACAGTGTCCCTGTCAACTCTCTTCAGTATCCTGGAAGGAACACAAGGTTCAATGCCAAGGTGGGGTGTGTAGGGACTGAGGCAGAGACAGAACCTTCATGAAATACAACGCCGAACAAAATAAATACTGTCTCCCGTTTGAGGAAGTTACTAGGATACTCACAATAAGAAAATGAAGTTGGTTAATCAGAGATCTCTGGGGTATTTGGTTGACCTTGGGGCCGCAAGACCGCGATGTCTATACGAAATGTCTCAACGTATTCGATCTCTTATCACAGGAATTGCTATACACACGGCGGTGAACATGGTCATGACTCATGGCCATCATCACGGTGTGGCAGGAGCTATGGTAGTCATTTCAACCATCACCATAATGATCTTGAATAACATGATATGTCTTTGTTGGATGGGGTTGGCCCTAGAAATTTTATGTCCAGGGTAAGAGATGTACTCTTTTGGAGGTGCTAATGTTTGTTGGAGCAGAACTAACTAGTGGGAATCTAGATGGTGCCTCTGTAGAGATTCTCTGGGCATTAGTTAGGCAGACCCTTCTGCCCAGAAGATTCTCTACAATGCAGTTCCTTACTTCCTAGAATTCTGTTGGGTCCTCCATAGTCCAAATAGCACGGCAGGGAATTCAGACCAAGAATGCCTGGAAATTTCTGGCCATTACCTCCTTGGCAGGTAAGACAATGAAGATTCTCCAGAGATCCAGTTTCTCCCAGAATTACCTGCAAAATTTCTCCAGGCAATCTGAGAAGGATGGGGGTAAGTCTTCTTTCAGGTAGTGATTGTTTGGGGAGACTGGACTTTTACAGTCTCAAACTTTTTTTCTTCATGAGGAAGATTATCTTTCTTCAATGTCAGTAGAAGTTATTATAAACCCCCTTTGAATGAGGCTCTGCCATTCTCATGTGGGGAGTATAGCTAGCCTAGTCTTAAAGTCTGAGGGGAGACAGAGGCACAGGGAGACTTAGCAAGGCTGTTGGTAGATATCTGAGCTGTGTCTGCAGGAGGGAGCAGACCTCCCTCAGTGTGCGAAAATCCCTCCTTCCAGGTGGCCTGGGCTCCCTGGGGGGAAGTGTGGGGGTGGCAGGTGTGGAGGGGCCCCAGGGGATCAAAGACAATTCAATCCGAAGCTTTCTATTTTCTGTTTTAATTGCATGTGTGTGTGTTTTCCAGAAGGTGGATGGTTGTCACTTTCCAGGCAGAAAGACCAATGACCAAGGGGAACTCTGAACCACAGGGGACCCTTGGGAGATCAAGAACACTGACCCTTCATGGAGTCACCCACGGCAGCTTCCTTGGGTGTCTTCCTGGCAGTAAAGCATCAGCCGGTGGCAGAAGGAAGACCAGGGGCCAAGATCCAGATTGTACTTCCGGCTTTCCGACCTGATTTCCTTCCAAGGGGTTTGCTCATCTAACACGCTCTGCTAATAGCTCCTTCTCTCTTTAGGAGGCGGTGATTTACCAGTCCAAGGAAGTGTGCATTCATTCACTCATTCATTCAGTGACGGATAAATGTTACATAATTTTTTAAAAACATAATTAAATGGGTGAAAGAGAAGGGAAATTCCTCCATTACAGATAAGAAAATAAAGAGGAAATGAAAACAGAGTATTACACATGCACATCGACATTACTGGTGCCGTGAAGACAGAATGTGACATGAAATGATTTTATGAGCTTAGCAGTTCATCCAGGAGGAACTAGGAGACAAAACTGTGGGCTTGTGAAAGGTAGAAGCTTGAAACTAAAACACATAAAATCCGAACCATCAGAAGACTTTCCTTTTAATAGAAGACTGGTTTGATAGGGGAAAAATTCACCCACCAGCACAGAGATGACAGCAACCTGGTCTTTCTGTGAGCTCTGGGGGAAAATAGAGAGTTTCCCCTAACATATCAAAACTCCAAGATGAGGCCACTTCCCGTGGGTGCTCTGGGAAGCCCCACATGAGGAATTATCGTAAAACATGGTCCTGGGCCAGGGACACCCCCAAGCCTTGGAAGAAGCACATATAAAATTACTTTTGCAGGACAGAGTCAGTAGGCCAGGCCATACAAGACTCTTGTAACACACAGGAAGTGTCTCAATTTACAGTCACAAAACCCACCAAATTACAATGACCAGGATTCAGAAAATATGACGAATGCAGGCTTAAATACCTAAAACTTCAGGCAGAAGAATTACCTAAGAATTACAATAAATTAAGTGTATTTGTACTATCTTAAGGTTGTTAAAATAATGAAGTATGACACTCAGATTAAAATGCTGTAAATACTAAAAAGGGAAATTTGAGAAGGAATAATAAAAATAATTTAGTTTTTGAGCATCTAATGTGTGCTAGGTACAGTTTGGAGCTTTTTAAACAAATGGTTTACATAATTAGCAAGGCAGCGTTATATATTAGATACAATTGCTATCCCAGTTTTAAGCATGAAGAGAGTTTGTTCATTTATTTTTATTTTTTTAATGTTTATTTATTTTTGAGAGAGAGAGAGTGCGAGCAGGGGAGGGGAAGAGTGAGCAGGGCATAGAGGACTGGAAGCAGGCTCCGCACAGACCCCGTCATGGGGCTCGAACTCACGGACCATGAGATCATGACCTGAGCCCAAGTCGGATGCTTAACCGACTGAGCCACTAAGACTGAGCCCAGAAATACAGAGTTTAAATAATTTGACCCAAACTTCAGATCCAGTAAATGGTGGGGCTCCCACCTAAATCCAGAAAAAATGTTCACACTTCTGGTCAGTCGGGGCTCCCATTTCATTCCTTGAGCCCTCCCTGAGATCCAAATACTTGCCGGTGGCAGATAAAATATAACATAAAAATCGACTTTGGTCCTAAGAAAAGAAAAAGTTAAACATTTCCATGGGCCATAAACAGAAACTCAAGTGAGAAAGGCAGCCATAGGACATGACGGGGAGGGCACCCGAGGGAGCCTGGGCAGGTGGGCAGGAGTGGGCGTGCGTGCAGGGGACAGTGGGGCACCTGTGCAGAGAACATGGGCACGTGCCCTGGGAGCCCATTGTGCGAGGGGCAGGATCCTCCTCAACAGACGCTCCAACGGTATCAGTATTTGGTTTTCAAAATTGTATTTAAATTCTAGTTAGTTATCATACAGTGCAATATTGGTTTCAGGAGTAGAATTTAGTGATGTATCATTTACATACAACACCCAGTGCTCATCCCAGCAAGTGCCCTCCTCAGTGCCCATCCCCCATCTAGCCCATCCCCCCTTCCCTCGAAGAACCCTTACTTCATTCTTGATCATTGAGTGTTAGCATTAGGCAGAAGCATTAAACAAGAAGTCTATGTCAGATGTGTTTTATTTGGATGAGATAAGGTAGCATGGAAATAAAAGGAAAATGAATAGACGACCTAATAAATCATAGTAGATAATTAATATCTGTTTGAAAAAATGGTTAGATCTCTGTCTCATATAATTTTTTAATCCAAAAATTAAAGTCATAATATAAATATAACATAAAACCTCAAAATAAGAAAAGTCAGATTCTTACCTCAGACCAAACATACCTATGACATACTATGTGAATTATAACAATTATGAAAGCATTTTAAGAAAATGTAAGAACATTTTTACTAACATAATCGCATGGCAGGGAATGTGAGGGAAGTTTCTGGAATGATGGAGAAATTTTATATCCTGACAAGAGTTTCAGTTACTTGGGTGCATGCTCTGGTCACACTGACGGAACTAAGCACATAAAATGTGTGCACCTCACTTTATACAAATTATAAATCATTCCTACAGAAGCTATAAGAAAAAAGTTAAATGAACACTGAGAAAATAGATGAAGGATCAGCATAGGAAACTTTTGGAAGAACTACAAATTAATATTTCATTTATGGGGAAAATGCTCAACTGCATTAGTAGTTTTACAGTTTTTTATTGAAATAACAATGATACTATTCTCTCACAGACTGATTATCTCATGCACTGTTGGTCAGTGTGTGCACTGACTACAGAGCAGTTTAAAAGTCTTTAACAAAAATATCAAGTGTGCACAACCTAAAATGTCCTAATCTCTGATTTGCAAACTTATCCTTCAGATGAATTCACAGGAACACAGAAATATGTTTGTATAAGGACTTTTATTTATTTTATTTTTAATGTTTATTTTTGAGGGAGAGAGTGGAGGTAGGGGGAGAGAGAGAGAGGGAAACAGAAGATCCAAAGTGGAGTCTGTGCTGGCAGCACAGAGCCCAACGCGGGGCTCAAACTCACAAATGAGGAGATCGTGACCTGAGCTGAAGTCAGACGCTCAACTGACTGAACCACCCAGGCGCCCCAGGATACTTATTTTAGTATTATTTTTATAATATAAAAATTTTGGAGACCACCTAATGTCCATCAGTGATTGAAAAGATTATACTATATCATGATAGTATTTCACGGCACTGAATGGTACACTTAAAATGGTTATTATGGTAAATTTTATGTTACTTAGACTTTGCAAAACAAAAGAGTATATATTATGATTTATCTGTATGTAACCGATATATATAGTCTTTTAAAATAGTATAAAAGTCTACATAAAGACTTGAAAATATTTCACAATTTTTACAGATAGGTATATTTCTAAATATTTGTGTATTTACATGCACGTATAAGAGTTTGTACGAAGAATTGAAAACTATCTGCAGAGCTAAGATTTTAACAACACTAAGTTTTTAAACAATGGGCACGATTTGTGGTGTTAGATATAAGAAAAACTCTTAGTTTTTAGATTGTATACTTCTAAATTGTTTTAATTTGTGGGAGGTGGTGAAAATGAAAATAGAGACTCCAAATTGTCACATTTTAAATTTTTTAATGTTTATTTTTAGAGAGAAAGAGTGTGAGTGGGGGAGGAGCAGAGAGAGAGGGAGACACAGAATCCAAAACAGGCTCCAGGCTCTGAGCTGTCCGCACAGAGCCCAACACGGGGCTCGAACTCACCAACTGCAAGATCATGACCTAAGCCATGACCTGAGCCAACCTTGGATGCCCAACTGACTGAGCCACCCAGGCACCCCATATTGTCACATTTTTAAAACGTTTGTGAATAAAAGAAGAAAAATTGTATTCATAAAGCTTCTAAAGGCTGCAGCAAGTATAGCACTTTGGATGTGGTGAAACTCACCAAGGCATCTAGACTGGCCTGTGCGTACAAAATATGTCTCCAAAGTTAAGTGCACCCACGGTAAGTAGTTACGAAACTTTGCTTGGATTCTGTTTGGTGGCAGTGACCCCAAATGCACCGAGTCACATATTTTACGCAGAAACAGGCTGGGTCACTTAAGTGGCAGGATGAGATTTCTGTTCTGGAGATCAGTACAGAGCTGGTCCACACTTACAAGGTGACCGGCGCCCATGTCCGTGTGCGGCAGCCCCGCGGAATCACTAACCTTGCGTCCCTGCACGCTGGGTGAGCCGCACTGTCCTTCCACCCCAAGATCCCAAGTTCTTTCACCCACATTGTGTCCTCTCACAGGAAAGAGTTAGAGCACAATTCGACCTGAACGCTGGGTGAGCCGCACTGTCCTTCCACCCCAAGATCCCAAGTTCTTTCACCCACGTTGTGTCCTCTCACAGGAAAGAGTTAGAGCACAATTCGACCTGAGCCTAGAAGAACCAGTAGGTATGGGGTTCTGGTCACTAGGTCCTTCCCACCCCCGCGTTCATGTTGGTTCTCTGGGCTGGTTGTAGGAATAGTCTCGGGGGGAGGCACTGGGGTGGGAAGTACTGGAGAGCTGACTACCCCAGGGTCTCTGAAGAGTGTACTGGTTCTGAGGCTTGGAGTCATGGATGGTTTCCAAAGAGCAGAATCTTCCGGAACTTTACATAGTGTCTTCATAGTCCTCATCCCTAACGTTTGCATTCTTCAGCCTAAAATAGATGGCTGAGGCATCCTAAAAGCCAAGGCACATACACAGGACCAGAGCAGGGGAGACACGTGGGACAAGCCTCCCCCTGGATCTCTCCCCCAGGCAGCCTGGACGCATCCTGTCACGACGCACCACGTAGCCCACGTGGCACAGCCTCTTGGAAGACTGTGGCCCTGGGCGAGCGTTTTCAAAGGGGCTGCGTCCCGCTGGTGGGCTGCAGAGGTGCCCCTGAGCACGCCGACCTGACTGTGCAAGCCCCTCTCCCGTTCTAAGGGGCCACCATTAGGCCGTTCCTCAGGCTGGCGTTTTTTGCAGGATTTCAGGATTTTGCACCTAAACTAAATGTAGCGTGTCACTGGGGTAGCAAGGACACAGTTCTGTCCTGAGATGTCTGGCTTCCCCACCACACTCGACAAAACTGCAAAGCATCTAGTGCCTTTGCACTCGTGCTGAGGTGTGATTCCCGTAATTTTCTGAAAGTATTTTCCTATTATCAGTGATGTCTTGAATTATTCAAGGTTGACAAATCACCAAGTTTCAATGACCCAAATCACTACTAGTTTAGCTTTGTTCAATGTTAACTTAGCTTTCCACAGATTGGTTAACCTCACAACACAATGTTGTGTGTGTGTGTACGTGTGTGTGTGTGTGTGTGTGTGTGTGTGTGTGGTTGAGCAGTATTTCAGAATAAAGATTTTCAAGGAATGGCATGAGAAGACTTGGCACGTGTTACAGTGCAGCTACAAATCATCCACGTGTCTGTTGCCAACGGAAACGTGTCTGCAAGCCTCCACAATCCCCTTGCACAGTGACACTTTATTATTACAACCAAATGTGTGTGTCCCACCGTGTGGGGAGATGAGGGAAGAGATGGACCATGGAAACATTTTGGCTTTCCAAAGCGGCTATAATTTTAAAAGTTTGAGGAGTATTCTGTAGAAGGAAGAGAGAAGAGCAAGAAGGAAAGTACAGTAGGGATTGTGACTCACCTGGTCCTCGACACGCGTTCTCCGGGGCGGTACTGCGGGATAGAAGATGTGCCTGTCAGGTGTTGTTTATATTTAAACATAACTGTTTATATGCCTCTTCTCCTATCTACCTATAGCGTATTGGTTGCCGTCAATATTTTTAGTTTTGCTTTTCTGCCTTTCACAAACATGATTTCCTTGCTGTGCACAGGACAATAGGCAGCCCAGTAGGGGTGGGCTGGTGAGTAGGTCCCTCTGGGCATTTATACCTCTGGCATTTGCGGAGCCACCAAGTGTAGACAGGACAACAGCAAGTGGGCAGATGCCCGGAGCCACTCAAGGAAGGCAGGCAGCCACCACCACCCCAATGTGCCGTCTGACAGGGGAACCCAGACCGAAGGCCAGAGCTCAGGGAGGCGGGGCAGCCCCTGATTACCTCCTTGGTTCCGGGAAAGAGACACAGTCACTCCCCCACGTCTCACCTGCTGGTGGCTGTTCCTGCTGCGTGCGGTACACCAAGGAGTAAACCTCGTCCCCGCAGACAACATTCACTGAAAGAGGAGAAAGTAGGCGTCGGGACACAGCCCTTTCTTCCTGCAGTTGATTCACTCCACGCCGACCACCTGCCGCCATGTGGAGCCACCTGTTCGCGGAGGCGGCGGCTGGGGCACCGCAGACACAGGTGTGGCTGGCAGGCCCCATCGCCCCTTCCCCAGCTCACTGGAGCTGCCTGGGCCAGGTCACCTGGGAGCCTCACCGTTTTCATACATAGACTGTCCCTGCAGCGGGGCAGGTGAGTTGACGTAGCTGGAAACTGATGGCACCGGGCTCGGAGGGCTCCTGCAGACGCAGAAGCACACGTTATCTGCATGGGGTAGCCTCCCCAATGCCCCGCACATCTCCATCCATGGTTGTGAGCAAGACATCAAAGGAGAGAAGCCCGCCAGGGAGGGTCCCGGGTGGAATACTGACTTCTGGGGGGAGTCCCGGGCACGGCTGCGTGGCGCATGCCCTGACCTGGCTGAGCAGGGTGCAGCCGGGTAGCGCTGGAGCACACAGCCCATGAGCACAGGCCGTCAGCTGCTGGGCTCACAATAGTGTCGCCCACACCCGCATCAGGGCCCCTCACATCACACACGCTCAGTGAATTCTGAATGAAGCAATATCGATTCACCCCCGACAGAAAACAGGGTGTTGAGCAGGACAGGCAGCTTGAGGAAGGGAGAGAAGAAAGTGGGCTTGTGGGTGCATGTACCCCTGGAAGAGCGGTACCCTGATTTGGTGGAAAATATCTGCTTTGTCGGCATAAGAGCAACACAGTATAAAAATATGTCAACTTGGGGCGCCTGGGTGGCTCGGTCAATTGGGCGTCTGACTTCGGCTCAGGTCACGATCTCACAGTTTGTGGGTTCGAGCCCCACGTCAGGCTCTGTGCTGACAGCTCAGAGCCTGGAGCCTGCTTCTGATTCTGTGTCTCCCTCTCTCTCTGGCCCTCCCCTGCTCATGCCGTCTCTCTCTCAGAAATAAATAAAACATTAAAAAAAATTTTTTTTTAATGTCAACTAAACATTGATGTCCCCAGATGCAAGAATTAAAAAAAAAATTCTACCGGCCTCTTAAGTTATAAAGAACTTCACCAGCAATGGTTAACACTCTCTGGCCTGAATTACAGAAATGTGCATGTATCTTAATTCCTCTGAGATATTTTAAGACTCGAGTGCTCGCTTCGGCAGCACATATACTAAAAAAAAAAAAAAAGACTTGGGATCCCATTTTCCTTTCTCATCAGAATGACTCACAGACCCTCAGATACGGGTTAACTCATTTAATGAATCAATTCATTGGTGAATGTGTGAAATGGGTCAAAGTTTGGTGAGGGAGCTAAATTAGGAAGAATGATGGAAGAAGGATTTCAATTAATTAGTTGATATATAAACAAGAAGGAAGAGCAAGCAGGTGCTCAGTGATAAGGGGGAGAGCTCTAGAGGGGTGGGTTGGGTTACAATCACATAAGAAACAAGCCCATGAGAGAAGATAACTCAGAACCCGTAAGATTGATTTTTCTGGAACATCAGTGCACACAGAGAATGTGGAGCCTCACCTGCATGGGCTCCTGGATGGACGTCTTCCTACAAGACAAGCAGATGAGCAAACACGTCAAAGGGGGATTCTGTTCATCACTTGTTTTCAGGTGGCCCCCGTGTGGGACTGTGCCTCAGGCCACAGTACCCCTCACAAATGCCACCGCATGCCAGAGGACATGCCGGCACTCAGTCACAAGGGTCCTACGTCTTGCTGGTGGGACACTCTGTGCAGAGTGGTTGTGTGGGCTCCCCAAAGATAGCTTCCCCCCCCACCCGAATGAGGACTTGAGCCCATGTCTCCAAACACTTGCACTTCTTGTATTGTTTGCCTTGGGTTTTAACAACCACATGACCTAACATTGTCATGACAAGTCATCAGATGCAGACATGGCCCCAGCCACGTGATAGACAAGGTGAGGTGCCCCATGATGCAGGAGAAACTAGGAATTCAAGTGAAAATCTCACATTGTCTCCATCTTGCATCTCTGCTTAGCAGAGAACAGGAGTCCAAGATTAAATGCACAAATACATATGTAATTCCCCATGTGAGCATGGGCGGGGCTACCCAGCTTAGTGCCCTGATGAAAAATAATGAGAGAATGCGGGCTGTGTGGCCAGGGGAAGCCTCTCGGAGAAAGTGACGTTTAAGTTGGAAAGCAGGAGGGATCCCGCGGTGAGTGGAACATGAGGAGGTGTGGACAAGCATTCCAGAAAGCCGGAAGCCACATGATGATGCTCTGGGGATAAGAGGCACCGACTTTCCCTGGAAGATGGTCAGCAGGGCTGGGATTGCTAACTGTGGTTTCTCCTCCAGGGGCTGACTAGTTAGTTTAAATAGAGTTACGTTTTGGTGTAAAAATTAGATCAGACAAGCTATCAGCTTGACCTCAGATAACACATAGTGGATGGAGGATTGACCAAACACTCTGCATCAGTCCAATGGGTGCTGCTCCCATGCAGGGGGCTGGGAGTGGGTCTGCGGTGGGGGAGGGGGGCCTGGGAGTAGGTCTGCGGGCCAGCAGGACATATCCACCCCTGCGTCACCGGCCCAGCCTGTGCCCGTGAAAACAAAGGTCACAGTAACAAAATACCAGCCTCTGTAAATACGAACCTAGTCTTTTCTTGAGCCCACAGCAGCATACGGCCAGAATGACGGGACCAAGGACGCCGAGGAGCCCCTCGAGGATTCCCGAGGCCAGGCGTTCTCGCCTGTCCTCCGTGGGCACTGAAGGGAGAGGTCAGCACATGAGCTGCCAGCTGGACGGCTACCCTTTGGAGAGCAGACATCTCCACTGTGGGTTGGGGCCAAGGTCTGCTCCTCCTGGGGGTGGGGGGCAGCAGGCAGACTTCTGTATGGAGGGGGCTGCAGCTTAGCACACTGATGACAGGGGAAGAGCCATCAGCCTTCACGTCCTCTGTGCCCTTCAGACAGCATCCCAAGGTGGCACCCCCCACAGACCCATCACTGGCTGCACAACGCCGGAAATGCGGTGGTGTCAGGAGGGAGCAAAGCATGAGACTCTTAACTACAGAGAACAAACTGAGGGTCCTCGCAGGGAGGGAGGTGGGGGATGGGCTAAATGAACCACGGGCATCAAGGAGGCCACTTTTTGGGATGAGCGCTGGGTGTCACACGTAAGAGATGAATCACTGGGGGGCCCGGGGGGCTCCGATTTCGGCTCAGGTCATGCTCTCACAGTCCACGAGTTTGAGCCCCGCGTCAGGCTCTGTGCTGACAGCTCAGAGCCTGGAGCTGCTTCGGATTCTGTGTCTCCCTCTCTCTGCCCCTCTCCCCCACATTCTCCTTCCCTCCCTCTCTCTCTCTCTCTTTCTCTCAAAAATAAATATTAAACATTTTTTAAAAAATAATTCTACCAATTAAAAAAAGAGAGAGATGAATCACTGGGTTCTACTCCTGAAGCCAAGACTACTCTATGTGTTAACTACCTTGAATTTAAACAAAATTTTTAAAAACTCCCCCGGGATGCTGGAAAAAGGCAGTGACCAAGACAGTCCTACAGCCTGAGCTGTACCTGTGACGCTGAGGGGCACTGCCTCGCTGCGCCAGGCCCCCAGGCCATTGTCGGCCTCGCAGGAGTAGTTTCCAGAATGTTCTGCAGTCAGAGAGAGGTTGAAGGACGCTCCTCCTCCAGCATGAGCTGAGCTCCTCCCCAGGGTGATGTTCTTGTGATAAAATCGGTACAGAATCGGGGGAGAGCCGCTCTGGGCCTCACAGCGAAGCTCCACCATGTCCCCCTCCTCGGCCTGGGCCCCGGGCGCCCTGACGGTGAGGACGGGGCGGGACACTGGAACTGAGAGAGACAGGGCGCCGTCAGAGAGGGTCCCCACACTGTGGCCGCTGCAGTCCCAGCCCACGGAGGCCCGGCCCCGGTGGACTCCCTCGGGGCGCCCCCGGGGAAACGGGGAGCCCAGCTCGCGGGCCGCTGGCGGGTCGGGGAACTTACTTCTGACGGTGACGCTCACCAGCTCGCTGAGGCTGGGGCCGTAGCCGTTGTCGGCCGCGCAGTAGTACTTGCCCGTGTCACTGTCCCCCACCGCCGCGATCTCGAACTTCGCTGCCAGAGAGCGCTGGGTCTTTGTTTCCAGGCTCAAACCCAGGGCGCCTTTGTACCAGAGGAAGGTGATATCTCCAGTGCCGGTGGCCACCTCGCAGACGAGAGCCAGCCTCTGTCCCTTCTGCACCTGCCCGCCGGGAGGCTGCGTCTCCAGGCTCACATTGCAGACGGGGACTCCTGCGCGCACACAATGTGACCCCGGAGGGGTGACCGTCCTGAACACAAAGGCCTCGGGCAAACTCAGCAGTTCACTCGGTGGAAAGGTGAGGGGACATGGGGGGGGGGGGAGTTCTGCTGATTTAGGTCCTCCTTGGTCAGGTGGATGGATACTGCAGGGCGATAAAAGCCATACTGTCACCAAGCACCCCCTCCCGGCCCAGGACACTGGGGCTCCCAGGACCCGGCCTCCTTGAGCCCTCCCTCCACAAGGCACAACAGCGGTGCCGAGCGCAGACACAGCTGCCTGGGCTGAGTGCTGGTTCCAGGTCTGACTGTGTGTGCTTGATCCAAGTACTTGACCTCTCTAGGACTCGATTTCCCGTCTGCACAGGGGGCGGGCAACGCGGCTGCCTCTGGCGGCTGGGAGGGTCCCCTTACGTGATGTGTGAGAGGCCGGGAGCAGGGCCCGCTGCCCTGTGCTTCTGAACTGTGCTCCAGCCTCACCAGGGCGGAGTTTGAGCAGAGGCGGGAAAGCCAGCCTCCCGGAGCCACCCGCTTCCCAGCACCGAGGATGCATCTTTGACTGAGAACAAGGGAGGATGTCAGCGTGTCCACCCTGACGCGGGGCAGCACGGTCCAGAGTCAGGAAACACCTCCTCGTCTTTGTCTCTCTCAAAACCAAGCCCCAGCTTCTCCAATAGCCTCCTGCACAAAGCCTCCGCCTACCGTGCGGGTCTGATTTCTCCCTTCTCTGTGGCTCCCGTCAACCACCCCCCACAGCCACACATTCGCCCTCCCTGAGGGCACCTTGGGAGCTCCGGCTTCTGGAAATAGGGGCGCGATCATGCAGCACTTTGCCCCCACTCTCCAGCACAGCGCGGGCTTCCGAAATGCTCTTCTGTGCGTGCAAGCGGGATTAGCAAGGGTAGGGAAGATCCCTCCAGGACTCTGACCGGGAGACAAGCTGGGGGACACCTCAGACACCTCCCATTCCTGCAGGAGCCCAGACCCCGGTGTCAGGGGAGACAGCCTCCTGTCCCCGCCAGTGTCTGCCCCCGGCCGCAGGCCCCCCGCACTCACTCTGCACCTGTATCTGGACCCTTGAGCTCCGAGTGACTCTGGATGCCGTGGTCTTTCCTTCACACCAGTAGGACCCTGTGTCTTCCCTCCACACAGTGGGGAGCTGGAGCTCTGCGGAGCTGCTCCAGTCCGGCCACAGGACCTGGCCGTTTCTGAAGAAGCGGAACTGGAGGGGGACGTCCAGCTTCCCTAAAGGGACCCGGATGTTGCAGGTCAGGTTCACTGAGCTTCCCTCCACGGGCTGAGAGGGCCTGGCCGTCAGGTGCAGCACTGGAGAGAGGAATGAAACACATATTCCAGGGCAATGGGGTTCAGAGTACCCAGGAAGAGGCACTTTGTGTTCTCAGCATTTGAAACAGGCTCGAATAACCACCCAGCAGGGCGCAGAGCCCACCGGGCACCTTGGTGCCCCCAGCCCACCTCACACCCCAGTACACTCCCTGAACCCACCCCGCACCCCAGCAGTCTCCCCCAGCCCAATCTGTACTCTGGCAGCACCCCCACTAGCCCACTCGGAACCCCATTGCTCCCCAGCCCACCCCACACCCTGATGGCCCTCCTACAAGCCCACCCCGGCATGCACCCCCAGCACACCCCCAAATCCCCCCCGCACCCTGGCCCCCCACCCCCAGGTTCCCTTGCACCTTGGCGCCTCCCCTGAGCCCACCGCGGCATGCACTCCCAGCACACCCTGCACCCTGGCACCCCCCACTCCAAACCCACCGTGCACCCCAGTGGCCCCCCAGCACACCCCAGCGCCCCCGCCCCCACTGCACACAGTGCTTCCTCTGTCCATAAGATGACCTTGCCCTCCACTTGGTCCTCATGCTTTGACAGTTCTGCCCATGAACTAACCACAGCTCTTTTGGAGACAGGGCAGGGCGCTGGCGACTGTAATCAGAGGTGGTGAAGCCGGACGTTTCAGGAAAAGTAAGTGGGTTTCATTCATTCTTGTTGTAAATCATATTGGTCATTTTTCTCCTGCTTCATTCCCCTGGTGTCCTAGAGTCACACTGTTTCTTCCAAGGACAGAATGTGACACCAGGATCTGCCAGTCTGGGAAAGACTGAGAGGTGCTCGATGCCTTTTTTATGGATTCTCTCCTTCCCACTGGAGGGAACAGGCATGCACCTGCCGGAAAACGCCTCCCGCGCACATCGGGCTCCCTCGCTCTGGGACTGTGTGCAAACCTCTGTCGAAGGCGTGGTGAGGAAGAGCAATTTCAATCCGCACCTTGAGCTCAGGGATGCCTCCTTTTTGGCCGTAGGGGATCTTCCCTGGGTGGATCAGAGGGGGGTGGCAACGCTGGGTCCTGCCCCCGCCTCCTCCTGCCCTGCAGCAGCGCCCACAAACCTCCCCAATCCCTGTGCTCACTGGCTCCTGAGGCATTTGTTTAGCGAAAGCTCAGAGCCTCTTCTCTTCAGGGAAGGTTAGGAATTGTCTGAAGAGAAGCTCTTCTCCCCCCACCAGCTAAAAATGCCATGTGTTCCAGATCACTGAGAGGTGGCCGCTGCTCCGACACCTGTCATCCTCAAACCTCGCTCCTGGAATGCTTTACCTGGGGACTCAAAAAAAACCTCAGTCCCAACGTTGGTACCTGAATGTTTGCTCTTTGCCTGTGCGCTAGGAGGCGTTTTCTATCCTTGGAAAACTGCAGTCCCCGGTGAGCCGACCACAGCACGGCTTTTGAGCTGAGCAGAGAAAGGAATAAAGAAGGCTTCTAGGCACCTGTACTCCACTCTTGTGAATGGGGCAGGTGGGTGCAGAGTAGGACCCCAGATGGGCCGTTCTCGAGGGCTGGGACTCAGCCTTGAGCGCAGAGCTTGCTCCAGATCATTCTCAGGTGTTCCCAGAACCCCCTGGCAAATTCCTGGTAGCGAGAGTTGTTTCTTCTGGGTGTGGCTTTGCACGTCTGCTCACGCTCGGATTGAGCACATGGACCTGTGGCCTGAGTTCCACCTGCGTGAACCCTGGAGGAGCCTCTTGGGAGGCTGGGTTGGTTCTGAACATCCCCGGCCGTTGGCCCCAGAGGTCTGTGTTCCCTGGTTCTATGTGCAGCCTGTAGCCTTGAGGGTGCAGAAGCCTCTTTCAGCCCCGTGGACAGTGTTTTGTATAGAAGAGAGCAGTTCTGACGTGTTCCGGGTTTAAACACACATTAGTTAAATTCCTTCTTGGGGAAGCTTCCTCCTCTCTTCTGGTGAAGGCCAGACGTCGGATCAGGATCAGAGCGAACAGTGTTTGCACCTAGCAGAGTCCAGGAGAGAAGTCGCGCCTGCTGACAGCTGTGGTTACAGAGCAGGGCTGGAGAAGGAAGGAGGCAGAGTGCCTCCCGGCAGGCCCGTGGCCCCGGCATCCACGGCCATGGTCTCCACAGACGTGTGGCAGCCACAGTACCTCAGGGCCCCTGGGGGAGCGCCCAGCGAGGAAGACACAGGGGCCTTGGGGCCCCTCAGGCCGGGAGGGTGGAGACTTTTCTAACATCTGTCTGTAACGCTCTGTGACTTCCCTGTGAAACAGCATCTCCCTCCCCGAGCTGAGACTTCTGTGGAGAGGACCACGAATTTGGGAAGGTCAGAGCCAGACCGGCCCCCCCCAGCGGAGCAGGCACATGTCAGGTGCAGACACTGGCCTGAACACAGGCAGCCCGGGCCCTTGGGAGCCCTGTCACCAGATGTCAGACAGCGTCCACAGGCCCCGGGACAAGATTCCCGAGGACAGCAAAGGGGACAGGGAAGGGAGCTACTCACCAGTAGGTTCGCAGGGTGGAGCTAGGAGAGAATTTGGGAGAGATCAGTACGGATCTCGAGTGGAGCCCGTGTACCTTCCCCAGCACCGCTCCCCCCACCTCCCCCCTTCCTTCTCCCCTTCGCTCCTGCCTCTTCATTCTCCTCCTTCCTTCCTTCTTTGCCCCTGCTCCTCTCCCACATTCATTTCCGATCACTGCCCCCATCCGTGGTTAGGACGTGGTGCCTCCGTTTGTGACTGCGTCTCACTGTCCTCTCTCCCTCAGAAGTTGTGATGACCCTCCCCCGGCCTGGCCAACTCGCAGTGACAACAGCCAGGCTCCTGCTACAGACACACACACACACACACACACACACACACACACACACTGTGCCCTTTATTCACTTCCTGCTTCCTGGCAAAGGAGGTCCAGAGAAGGAATTCTAGTTTCCCCAAAGATTCTCTCATATCCCAAGGACTTGAGCACAGTCTTATGACATAATGACCAAGAACAAAAGACTCTAGGGAGATGCAGCCTCTCGGCCAGAAGGCACAGGCTTGAGTCCTGGCTCTTCCCCTTACTAGCTGTGCTGCTTCGGGGAAAATTCTGTACCTCTCTGTGCTCTATTTTCCTTTTCTGCAGATTGGAGGAAATAATGGCCCTACTTCACAGAGTTCTTGTGAGAATTAAATAAGCTGACATCCATAAAATGCCTGGACTTTATTTCACATTCAGTAAATATTACCTCATCATTATTATCTATTTGAGCCCATACTGAATCTGGCATGTATAGCCTGCCTTTTTAGTTTAAATGCTTATTTAAATAATGGGTTCCTCAGGTAGGATGGAGTTGATGGAGGCTGGCATGACTTCCATGGCTTTTATTCATCCATCCTACGAATCTTTGTGAGGGCTTACTGAGTGCCACACATTACACATGGGACACGGGTTGCCGGAGCGAATGTGGACACCAGTTAAAAAGTCAATATATAACCTGATTTCCAAGAGTGATCTGTGCTGGAGGAAAGATGAACCCCAGGGGTGCCTGTGTGGCTCAGTCAGTTAAGCATCTGACCCTTGACTTTGGCTCAGGCCGTGATCTCACGTTTAGTGGGTTTGAGCCCCGTGTCAGGCTCTGGGCTGTCAGCGTGGAACTGCTTGGGATTCGCTTTTTTCTTCTCTTTCTGCACCTCCCCCGCTTGCTCTCTCTCGCTCCCCCTTTCTCCAAATAAATAAACAAATTTTAAAAAGATACAGCTGAGAAAGGAGTTATAGAGTATCATCAGGTGGTCTAGACTATTTGGACAGCTCCCAACTGAGTAGAAACCAGAACAGGATTGGAGAGCTGCCCTGCAGTGTTTGGGGGACGCACACCCCCAGCAGAGAAGGAGCCAGTGCAGAGGCTGAGAAGGAATGAGCTCGTGTACAGAGGGAGGAGGAGGCGGTGCCCCAGGAGCTGATCCAGGGGCAACACTGGTGTGAGGTTCCTACAGGCAGGTGGAGACAGTCACAGAGGGCTTCCTGGATGTGGCCCCAGGCCTGGATTTCATTCTGGGTGTGCTGGGAGCTGTGGACAGCTCTGACTCAACTTACACTTGTAAACTCGCTCTCACGCGGGAGAAGCAGGGGGACCTCAGTGGACACTCAGTCTGGAAGCTTGAGGACGCCTGTGACGCTGGGCAGTGCTGCCCCATGAAGGGTCAGATTCCAGAGTAAATTTGAAAGTAGAATCAATAAGAATTACTTTCGGGTGCAGTTCAAGTGTGGAGGAAAGAGAGGAATTTGTATAACTTCTCTGTGGTTGGCCGCAGCCCCTGGAATAGTGGCGGTGACGTTCCTGGGCGTGGAGAGGTCCCCAGAGGAGCAGGTTAAGCTTGGGGGGATGCATGGGACATCAGGAGATCTGTGTGGCCATGTGGAGTGTCCGGTGTCTACTGGATGGCTGAGCAGCCATTGACTGTATGAAAGGTGCTCAGAGGAGAGACCAGCTCTGGGGAAATAAGCCTGAGTTCAAGGCTACAGTGGCCATAAGGCACCTGAGCAGTGCAGCTGGGAAGTGAGCGTGTGGTGGGTGGGGTGGGGTGGGGGTGGGGAAGCCAGGTCTGGGCACCAACCTTGGGAAAGTCAAACACTTGAAGGTCAGGAAGCAGCAGGGATTGAGTTAGAAAGAAACCAGGAGATGGGGCGCCTGGGTGGCTTAGTCGGTTAAGCGTCCGACTTTCGCTTAGGTCATGATCTCGCGGTTCGTGGGTTCGAGCCCCGCGTCGGGCTCTGTGCTGACAGCTCAGAGCCTGGAGCCTGTTTCGGATTCTGTGTCTCCCTCTCTCTCTGACCCTCCCCTGCTCACGCTGTCTCTCTCTCTCCTAGAAATAAATAAAAATATTTAAAAAAAAAAAAAAAAAGAAAGAAAGAAACCAGGAGAGTGTGGTGTTCCAGAGGCCACCGGAAGAAGTATCTCTGGAAGAGGGAGCGAAGGGCCGTTCCGGAGAGGCCATGTGCAAGGAAACAGGACACCACGCCTGGGCCGGGGTGAGGCAGAGGTGGCTGCGGGTCCTGGCGGGAAAGCGTGGGGGACGAAAGATGGACAGCAGCCCAGGACAGGCGAGGAGGGCTTATGAGCGCTGAGAACAGGCCATCAGGCACCAGGGCTTAGGAGCCGGGAGAGATTGATGCCAAAGGGACTGAGGTGGTGAGTGGGCTGGCGGGCACGTGAAAGCAAGTCCTTCTGGAGAATCTTAGACGACATATCAGAGAGTGAATCTTACTGTCATGTCAGTTAAACATTAGCTCGAAACAATGGCAGGAGATGAAGCAAAGCCCAGCAACTCCCTGGGGACTTTGTGAAAGGGGAGCAGGAGGCGTTTCCGTTGTTTCGGGGGAAAGACGTTACAGCGTGTAGGAAGGATCGTGGTGACGGCAGAGGGACGGTTCTGAGAGAGCAGGAGCATCTGGGACCCAGTGACGAGGGAGGGGCCCGTCCTGCACGGAGACAGGGACAGGGCGGCCCTCAAGGAGGACAGGTGACGGGTGGCGGGTAGATCTGAGCACAGCCGCAGGCAGGCGAGGTCATTCCCTTCTGACGGCTTCCGTCTCCCCAGCGACATAGGCAGCAAGATCATAAGCTGAGCGTAAGAAGGGAGGAGTTGGGGGACACAGAGAAGGTGGGAGATAGCAGTCCGGGTGTGAGGCTGGGACTAGCCGGGGCAGGCAGTCACTGGCCCTGCTGGGGCCACTGAGATGTGTGTCCTACCTTGAAAGGGACATGAGTCAAAGAGACGGTGCCTTTTGTGTGAAGGCACTGGTGTGAAGGTGCAGAGAATGCTGATCAGAGGCCGCTCACGGGAGAGGGGTGAAGGTGGGACCCAGGACCCTTGTGCCCCAGAATCTAAGGGGGGGCCTAGAGGACAGTACCTGTCAATGAAAAGTCACTTTAGGGGTTGAAAAGTGGCCACTGGGCAGGGGTTGGGGGTGACCAAAACAGGATTTTGAAAGCGAACAGTTGGTGGTGAATTCTAGGGTTTGATGGTAGGAATGAGGGGGCCAAGGACAGAAGAGAAAGGGAAAGATGTTGCCAGGACAGACAAGGACTAAAGGCCCAGTTTGGTGTATGAACCATCCCTGTGGCATCAGCAACAGTGAGGACAGACAGAATTCACACTGGAAGGAAAGACAGACAGTGAACGCTTGCTAGGAGGTAGAAACCGAAACGAACGTTTTCCTCAAACACTTGGCTTTCCAGTATTTCCCACCTGCTGCCTGGCTCTGAGCTGCCGGCTGGAGGCAGAGATCTCGGCAACCACGGGCACAGCCCCGCACCTGCTGCACCTGCTCAGACGCGCCACTCACCCCACATCAACAGCATGAGCCCCAGCAGCATGAGGACCAGGTCGGGGGCTGTCACTGTAGATGCTTTCTCATCGGAGGAAGAATCCAGCTCAGAGGCGAGAGGCAGCGGCATGTCAGAGGGTGAGAAAGTTACTCTGAAGCATGTCTACAGAAATAGAAGGAAGAACTAGAGCGCTCTGAAGGCCCACCTCTACTTCCTGTCCCGTGAGGGCCCGGACGAGCAAAGATGCTCCTTTCTGTATTTGGTTCACTGTCCATGACTAGAAGCGGGTGCACATCAATGCATCAGGGCCTCCCTCCAGAGCTCAGGTGGTGCCTCAAGGGAACTTTCCTGGAGCCAATTTCTGACTCTGATGAGCATTCCTCAGACCAGGGTCCTGCGGAAGTTCAATGGCGTGTTTCCCTTGTTGGGAAGGGTGTCTCTTGGTCCATGTCTGCTCTACACATGTTCTTGTTTCTCAACAGCCTGCACTGTGGCTGCTCTGGGTGTGAATGTCCAAGCCAGAGACCGCTGGGCCGTCATCCGGGTCACCTGCAGCATCAGAGAAACGTCGTGGATGATGATCTGTACAGAGTCAGGCTATTTGCAAAATACCGCCTCTTGTATTTAAACTTTTAGGGTGTTGCAGTCAGTGAACCAGAAACAGAAGAGAAACAGAATCACAGGAAATTACCACCTGCGGGGATGTTTGTGAGTGAAATACAGGAAACAGGCATATGCAAATTAGCTTCTGGGTGTTTGGGGACCAGCTCCATTAGCTCTAGGCCTGGTACTTGTGACAGTGTTCTGCCCCTCCCCCAAGTCAGTGCCATCTTTGCCTTGAGGTGGGGGTCCCAGTCCTAGTCACCCAGAGCCCGCATGGAATTCAGATTATGGTTAGAGGAGAAGAAACCATCTTAATTTCCCACACTTCTGGAGTCTTGGGTATCTAGGGTTCAGAAGTACCCAACAAGGTGTGGGACATTGAGGGGACATGGCAAGACACCATTGAGTGATGACATCCAAGTGCGCGTGTAGAGTAGGAAGAAGCATGAGAAGAGAAGCAGGGGGCCAGTGCGGCCAGTGATAAGCCACCTGGAGGAAGACGGAGCAGTGCTAGGGGGCTTCGGTCAGCCCCCCAGCATCCCAGAGATGAGACAGTGCGTTCTGACTTTGTTTGCTGGTCCCAAAAGCCCGTGTTTAGAGTTTCAGGACCAAGGCTTCACCCTCATTGAGGGCCATGGAGTCATCTCTGCCCAGCGTGTAAGGCTGTGTGTGCGTGCACACCTGGGGCTTCACTGCCCGTGCTGGGGTGCATGCCTTCACCACTCCTTCAGGTTACAATCTCTCTCCCCTCCTCCTCCACAGGCTGTCTGTACACAATTTGTTAAGCTCTTTCACACTTTTAGTTTTATAACATCATTGATAGACACACTAGGAAATACATTCATATAAATTATGTGCATATAAACTATGAGGTTCCATGATGAAATCTGAACCCATACAAGTGGAGGTGGGGTCTGATGTGGAGGCCATGAGCGAGAGGGTACACTGCCAGCAAGGAGAGGAATGTGGGGAGAACTTTGTCACGGGGGCGTCGAAATCAGGGTAAGACTTTTCACAGGGGGATGGGGGTGGGCCTGGCGCTTATTGGGAAATCCCCACTCTGGTCCAGGGAGCAGCACTGAGCACCGGGAGGTGCCGGGGCTTGGCACAGAGGAGAGATCTGCAGTGCTCACCCAGCGTATTAGAGAGTGGGGGCTCACTTTCTGTAGGGCAGGCTGGGATGGTGAACTTGGTGCCAGAGACACTGGGCCACGGTGCCCAGATACATGGCTGAAAGGAGGAATTCTCATTCCCGTACATTCCGGATGAGGAAAACGGGACCCCATGGGGAAGATACTTGTTTGAGGTCACTGTTACACAGACTAGATTACTGCTTCCAACTATTGACTCTCTTCTTTTTTTTTTTTTAAATTAATTTATTTATTTTGAGATGGAGAGAGCTGGGAGGGGCAGAGAGAGAGGGAGAGAGAGAGAATCCGGGAGCAGTCTCAGAGCTGTCAGAGCAGAGCCCCCCACGGGGCTCGAACCCACGAACTGTGAGATCTTGACCTGAGCCCAAATCAAGAGTTGGACACTTAACCGGTTGAGCCCCCCAGGTGCCCCTGGGCTCCCTTCTTGTAAGGGAGTTATATGTGCTTTCTCATTATCAAGAGACTCACTCAAGCATCTTTTGGAAGAGTGATGTCCCCATGGGCTGTCGCGTGGCCCCGTGGCGCGCTGTGGCTGGCGGGTGCAAGTGCATAAGGCATTGCTGCACACTGTTGGACACTGGCTGCAGGTGCACGGTGTCCTTTGACCCACTCTCCAGAATGAGAAGACACAGGGAATTCGAACTCAGCCCACAGCCCGGAGCTGAGCTCAGCTGAGCTCAGTGAAACCTCAGTCAGCTGGGCAAGAAGTAATCATAGCACGGAGACGGAGACGGTGGTGTGGAACAGCCGTAGGAAAGGCTGATGCGGCTCCACAACAGATTCATGGCTGGGCATAGCATGCACTCTCACTTTAATTTATCATTTCATCCTTGAAGTAATATTATTTACCTATTTACTAAATCTCTGCCACGGACCAGGAGGAGTATGCACCCAATATTCCCGTGTTTCCGTAAGTAGGAGACATTTTCCTCTGTACCTCAGGAAGAAAATTATCAAGGAGATGTGACTTATTTGGCCGATACGTAGGAGGAGCAGCTGAGCCTGTGTGGTTTGGTTCCACGTGGGTTCTGTCCTTGAGAGCAGGGCTCTCTGTGGTCTCAGTGGTCTTCTCCACACACCAGGCTCTGTCCCTGCCGCAGAGGCCCAGGGCCGTCCACACCGCCTGTAGCCACGATGGAAACCTGCCAAGTGTCGTGGTCAGTTTTGAGAACCCACTGAGGCCACACAACTGAGCCACTTCCTCTAAAGCAATTTTTACTGGTGAGAAAGCGAAAGTTTGCTCCCCTCTCCGTGATTCCTGTTACCCTCCATTCATCCTGCACTTGGGTAAGAACGGGCATTACTTGTTGCCTGAAAACAGTGCCATGTGCCACTCCCTGTACTACGTTCTGAACATGTACAGATGGCCGTGAGAAATGCACGTTCCTTAAGCACCGAGAATCCACAGTGTGGCAGGCGAGGAAGACTCACAAGTGACTGGACACGGGCCCGTGTGACAATCGTGATGACCGTGGAAGTCCTGCTAGAGATAAGAGCAGAGAGTCCAGGGGAGCCGGTGTCAGGAGAGGGGGGCTCTCCAGAGGGTGCGTGACGGCTGAGTCAGCCTCCAAGGGGGGCTGGGACGCCTGGGTGAGGACACCACACATGGGGCTAAGAGCACACACACATCAAGTCAAGAAACAGAAAGGCACTCTACTGAGGTCCTGGGACACGATTTGAGGAAGTACTGATGCGGCGTGAGGCCGAGGAGACAGAAGGAGGGAGCTCAGGAAAGGAGCACGGGCTGCACAAAGAGTGTGGGAATCTGTCAGATGGGGAGCTGGGCCATCGGGGCCCAGGGGGTTGCAGGAGGGGTCACTGTCCAAGGGGTCACCTTGGGGAGCAGTGGGTCACTGCCCTGAGGTTAAAAGAACATGCTGTTCCATCATCTGATTGTTCACAGAAGCCAAAATTTGGGGATTTTATGTAAAACTTGGGAATTTTTTAAAAATTTTGAGAGAGAGAGAGAGAGAGAGCACAAGTGGGGGAGGGGCAGAGAAAGAGGGAGACAGAGATTCCCAGCAGTCTCTGTTCTGCCAGCTTGAAGATAAGCTTGAACTTTCGAACTGGGAGATCATGACCTGAGCCGAAGTCAAGAGTTGGATGCTTGACCGACTGAGCCACCCAGGTGCCCCTAAAATCTACTAATTTTTAACTATTTGAGACTAGGTTTAAAAATTGTTCTAAAAGCATTTCTGTACAACATGATAGCTTTGTGACCTCTGCCCTGGGTCGCGGGCGTGACCCTAAGGGAAGACACAACCAAATACACAGTAGATGAAAAATGAGGGGACATACTGAGTTTGAACATTTTGAGGCAGAAGGTTTACTTATTTTACAGATTAGGAATCTGCAACTCAAAGATGTTACATAATTTTCAAAGCTTTACTTGTGAGAAGAACCAAGGCTGATGTGAGCCCCTGACTTCATCTTACCCCTGGAGGTCTGTCTGCTGTCCAGTACAATAGCCACTAACCACACGTGGCCTCTGAGCACTGACACCTGGCTAGTTGGAAATGAGAAGCATTGCGAGTATAATTTGCATGAAACCTTGGGGTTAAAAAAAGAATGTGAAATGCCTCATTAATAATTTTATATTCTCTCCTCCACTGTTGGTGGGAATGTAAACTGGTGCAGCCCCTCTGGAAAAGAGTGTAGATATTCTTCAAAAAATTAACAATAGAACTCCCCTATGACCCAGCAATAGCACTGCTAGGAATTTACCCAAGGGATGCAGGGGTGCTGATGCATAGGGGCATATGTACCCCAATGTTCGTAGCAGCACTCTCAACAATAGCCAAAACATGGAAAAAGCCTAAGTATCCATCAACTGAGGAATGAATCTAGAAGATGTGTTTTATCTATAATGGGATACTACGTGGCAATGAGAAAGAATGAAATCTGGCCATGTGTAGCAACATGGATGGAACTTGAGGGTGTTATGCTGAGTGAAATAAGTCAGGTAGAGAAGAACAGATACCATATGTTTGCACATATAGGTGGATTAGGAGGAAGTTAACAGAGGATGAAGTGGAAGAAGAAGGGGAAAAATAGTTGGGGAGAGGGAGAGAGGTAAACCATGAGAGACTCTTGAATGCTGAGAACAAACTGAGAGCTGATGGTGGTGGGGGAGAGGGGAAGGGGGGTAATGGGCATGGAGGAGGGCACTTGTGGAGATGAGCACCGGGTGTTATATGGAAACGAACTTGACAATAAACTATTTAAGAAAAAAATTTTTATAATGATTACATATTAAATGATAATACTTCTGATACATTAAATTAAAAAATACATTGTTAAAATTAAATTATTAATTCCACCTGCTTTTTTAAGGTTTATTTATGCTGGGAAAGAGGGAGAATGAGTGGGGGAGGAGCAGAGAGAGGGAGAGACAGAATCCGAGGCAGGCTCCGTGCCGCCAACCCAGAGCCCGAAGTGAGGCTTGAGCTCAGGAGCCGTGAGATCATGACCTGAGATGAAATCAGGAATTGGTCGCTTAACTGACTGAGACACCCAGGTACCCCTCACTTGTTTCTTTATCTTTCTTTCCTTTAAAAAAATTTTTTTTTGTTTAGTCTTTTCCACTATGGCTACTAGAAAATTCTACATTCTGCCTGAGGCTCATATTACATTTCTACCGGATGGAGCTAAATGGACCATGACTCTCAATGACAACGTGCCTTCTCACCCTGCCCACGGCCAGGCTGCAGGGAAGAGCTGGACCTGGGCTGTTGCCCATCAAGTCCCCACAGATGTGATGCCCTCGCCTCAGAGCAGAAGGAAAGAAACCCTAGGAGGGAAAGCCTGAGTTCGGGGGACACCAGCAAAGGCAGCATCTCTGGGGCGCATGCTGGGTTTGGGGTCCTGCGTCGGGAGCAAGTCACAAGAAGAGGTCACTCTCCTGACTTTGAGAGCATAGTCACGAACTCAGATTGAACTGTGGGCCAATCTATTGAATACTCGTGGTTTGGGCCATCTTCCCCCAGACCAGAACTGGCTGGTCCTGCTGAAGAAGTAGTGGGATAAAGATCTTGGGAAGGGAGACAAGGTCACGGAGAGGAAGTGGCCAAGGCATCAGACTCTCTCCTCCGCCTGCTGCATCCTCAGGAGTTTGCTCTGTGGGGAAGAGAGTGTTGACAGGTGGGCAACAACGTCCCCTTTCCATGTGCCTCCATCTTGTCAAATGCAGTTCGCAACTACTAACTGTCCCTCAGCACTAAAATGAGCACAGAATGTGTCATCCAAACCAGGACACTTTGGGGAGTGGAAGTGTCCACCAGAAATTATTTACAGAAATTAACTGACCCTCAATGGGCAGCAACCACCCGGTCCTAGGCAAAGTTTTACGACTTCACCAAAAAGTCTTCCTCTACACTCTATCTGCACACTATCCCTCTCTCCTCCTCAGATGGCCCATGGCCACCTCCAGGGTCTTCCCCCCTCCTTTCCTGACCCCAAGAGGACACCCCTCCTGTGTTTCTGGGAAAACCTCATGAGGAGGGTAGGGCCTCCGAGGCCGAGGTTCCCTCCCTCCTCCGGGGGTTAGTCACCCCCAGCCTCCTTCCGGGCTGTCACCAAGCGCCCAGTGACACAGCAGGGACACTGGTGTTACTTGGGTCTGCCGAGTCAGTCAAGAGCAGGACAGCTTCAGACATTGCCTGAAAGAGGCTGAGAGAACAATCTGGACAGGGCGTGGCTGGAGGGACATCGGCTTCTGACGACTTAAGAGAGGTCATGACCTCAAGCGTGGACTAAGCACTAGCACCCTCGTGATACACAGCCACCTGCACCTGGTGTAGTGGTATCTCTGCTATAGGTCCTGGTCCTCGCCTTTTCAGACCCTTGATGCTGCAAATTCAGTGAGAACTGCCTCATCCCTAACAGATGGGCTTATCTAACTAACCTCACACGAGACAGGCATATCACCACTGTATTACTTTTAAGCACATAAATTGGTTAGGGTTATTTTGGTTAGCAGTGCAAGAGCCAATGGGATAATTCCATCAACATTTAAATATATATACTTGTATATGTACATATATGTACATAAAACGTATATAATAAGCGTACAGTACTTTGTCACAGAACACAAAACTAGAAAGGCAGTTGGACTCCAGGAAAAGACAAGAATCAGAAACTTAAAGTGCTGTCTGGTTCTCTGCCTTTCCTCTGTGGGCCTCTCTGTTTCATACATTTTAGAGCATCTCTGTTGAAGGGCTTCTTCTCATGCTCTGATCCACCCACGGCTCCTGGGATAACTGACTACAAGCCCAGCTACCTGGAGAAACTAATGTTCCTTGGATGACAGTCCCCGGGGAGGGCTGATCCATCTAGCTTCCGACAGACCTGTACTCATGGTACCAATGAACTGTGGTCAGAGGACAGGATTATGTTTAAAAACGCTCCTTAGTAGTTACCCAAAGGAGCTGAAAACATGTCCACACTAAAGTCTGCACATGGAAATTTGTATAAGCAGCTTTGCTCATTGGTTTCCAAACTTGGAAGCAGCCAGGATGTCCTTCTGTAAGTGAACGGATTAATTGTGTCCATCCAGACAATGAATACTGCTCAGTGCTAAGAAGAGATGAGCCGCCAAGCCATGAAGAGACATGGAGGGAACTTGAATGCATATCACTAAGTGAAAGAAGCCAGTCTGAGAAGGCTCCATAAAGTGTGATTCCCATTCTGCGACTTTCTGGAAAAGGAAGGACTTTGGAGGCAGTAGAAGGATCAGCGGTTGCCTGAGGCTGGGGGGAGAGGAGGGATGAATAGGCGCTTAGAGGACGTCGGAGGGTTTTGAGGGAGATAAATTTACTCTAGGTGACATTATAATGGTGGATACATGTTTACAAATTTGCCCAAGCCCATAGACCAGCACAGAGATGAGCCCCGGTGAAACCTACGGAGTTTGGGTGATAACGATGTGTCAGAGCAGTTTGATGGTAACAAATGCACCCTCTGAGGAGGAACATTTGTAACGGGAGGTCGTGCTCCTGTGGCAGCAACAGAACTCTCTGTATCTTCCTCTCAATCTTGCTGGGAACCTAAAACTGCTCTTAAAAAAATAATAAAGTCTTTGGGGTGCCTGGGGGGCTCAGTTGGTTAAATATCCCACTTTGGCTCAAGTCAAGATCTCACAGATCGTGTGTTCAAGCCCCGCCTTGGGCTCTGTGCTGACAGCTCGGTGCCCGGAGCCTGCTTCCCATGCTGTGACTTCCTCCTTCTCTGCCCCTCCCCTGCTTGTGCTCTGTCTCTCTGTCTTTGTCTCTCTTTCTCTCTCAAAGGTGAATAAATTTTGAAAAAAAAGTTAATGATAAAAACAAGTCCTAAAATACACTCACAAAAATGGCTGCGATGGACATGCTGGGTATAGTTTACAAACAAAAAGGCTCAGAAGACTGTCAAAAGTAAAAGATTATGAATTTATACTAACAATAAAATGTTGAGTGGGTCAGGTCGCACGTCTCCTGATTACCGCCACTTACTAGATATCCGGATTCTGAGGAAGTCAAGTGCGCGTCAGAGGCTGTGTTGGTGAGCTCTGAAGCAACGCACTTGGTCTTGTAAAAACTATCTCTTGGCATGCGAGTCGGGGTCAGCTGAATGTGGTAAATGAGACACCTAAACGTCTCTCCAGCCTAACATAAGTCATATTTGTTTCTAACTGGGGGAGAGCGCATGCCACGCGGTCATTTGGATGTCTGGGCCCCTCCGTGCTCTGGCTCTGCCCTTCCCGTGATGTTGGGGTCGTCACCGCCAACAGCAGACAGGAGAGACAGCACGGGGAAGACAGGCTCTGTCAACTGTCCCGGGTGGGAAGGCATCCCGTCCGTTCTGAGAACTTGCCACATGCTCTATCTTGAAGGAAGAGACAGCTGGAAGCCCAGGTGGCTTGGAGAAGCAGGGACCATGAGGCGGTGAGTCCCAGTGGGGGCTGACCCACTGCAGCCAGTCTGTAGCTGCTGCCTGAGGGCGATTTCAGGGCACGGCCCCCTGTTGCTGGGGACTCTGCCCCGGCTAGCTGCCGCAGGCTGGGGGTAGATGTGTGTGCTGTGATCAGGACCTAGACGGAGGGTCGCCCTTGGAGAACGAATGAGACGTGCAGCAGCTTGCAAGCCCTGAGTCACCTGCCCACGGGACGATATTCTGAAGTCAGAGCAGCAGGAGAGGACCCCCCTCCCTGTGCGGGCCAGAGGGTGGCCCAGTGTCTCCTACTAAGATAGATCTGGAAGCCCTGTTTGCTGGTGAGGCCCGGGACCCTGTCAGGCTGCAAGTCCAAGGGGGCACTGATGGCCTCAGGGTGATTTTCCGGGGCAAGGGACCCCTCTATACTGGAGACCATGCAGGTGGCTACGGTCGGCCGCCAGCCCCACAGGCCAGCAGGGCCCCGTCTGCCCCAGGCCAGATGAAGGGGTGCCTGCTGGGCATGTGTGGGCCAGGATGCACAGGGTTCCTAAGGATCTGGACCCAGGCAAGGGCCGGCAGGGGTCGGGTCTCAGGAGGGTCTTTTGGAGGAGAAGGTGTCAGCCAGCTCACAGCCCCTGACCTACGCAGGCAATACTCCCCTTGAATGCAGAGCTCGTGGTGAGCAGACTGCTTCGCCAGGGCAGGGCTGGGGGCGCTGGCCGGTGTATCCTCTGCTAAGAGGTACCAGGAGAGACTGGCTGCATGTCCAGAAGATCGCAGCAGAGTCTGAGTGTGGGCAGCCGCTGTCACACACAAATCTCTTGGGGCCCTGATGCCTAGCCTGTCCGTGCCCACTGTGGACATTGAGGCTGTCCCTTCTCCAATGGCGCCAGCGGGCCAGCGTCAGCTTCTCCAAATTCTCTGCTTCGGTGATGCCAGCTCTTGCTTCCGGGTGGGATTCACTCCACCTCTTCCAAGGGCTGTCACTTGGATCTGATTGGTTCTCAGGGGACTCGACCAGAATGGAAACAAACAAAATTCTAATGCAGAAATTAAGGGGAATTCAGAGTTCCTTTTGGGAAATTCCAACCCTTCCAGCTCTACCTTGAATAAAATAGCTCTTCAGTGACTCAGAGCAGGCAGTTCTAGCTTTCCAGCTACTATGGGAACAGGCTACTGGTCTATGGGGGAGTCAGGAAGACCTCATCAGATAAAGGGAGCCGCACAGATAAAGGCAAACTCTCTGTGAATGAACAACGTAGGTCCCCAAATGTGTGATCAGGCCTTTTCTTCTCTGCCACAGAACCAGCTAGTTCCCTGTTCCCACACTAGGGAAGAGGCGGGAGGGCAGGACTCTGTCCACCTGCTAGCAGGTCTCCGCTGCCCCAAAGGCCGTTGCTGAGACCCTGATGCACCTGCTTCCCAGAGGCAGAAAAAAGCACCTCACACAAGAGCCAATGGCTGAGACCGTGAGATCGACTTTATTAGGCAGCTAAACGCAGGCACGTTGCAGGTGCTCAGTCTCAGCCTCGAGTTTTAGAGCCAGGTCTAGGTTCTCTCCTTAGCAGCCTCGCACCCCGCCTCGCATATCCAGGCACCAGCGTGTGAGTGCAGAAAATGAGTGGTGTCATCCGACCGGCGTGAGACGCGGCTCGGGGCCCTTCCCTCCTTCTGGCCGCGGCCGCCCCACCATCCTTTCCTCGGGTCCGTTGGGACGCACGTGCACGGCTGCTCGATGCACCTCAACTGTGGTGGCGACTGTTTGCGAGGGTCAACAGGGCCGTTTTCTTACAAGCGTTCAGGGGGTGCGGCACGGTTTCTAGGTACCGCGAAAGCATCTAGAATTACAAGATGCCGCTCTGCTGCTGAAAGGATATGCCTCCACCAAGGGGCAGGAGGGCAGCGAGCTGCAGTGACTGGTTGTGGTCTCCCGAGTTCTGTACAGGCCTAGAGATGGGCTGGCAATGGCCTGTGCTGGTCAGAGCGCCAGGCTGGGGGAGCAGAGGCCAGCCAGGCCAACCCGGGGCAGAGGAGGATGCAGCCCTGTCTTCCCTTGTTAAGGACATGCAATACCTCCTATCTCCAGGCAACCACGGGAGCACTTGGCTCTGGAGCAAGGCATAGGCATAGAGTTCACACTCTTTCCAGGGGCAGAGTGGGGAGGTGGGTACCATCGCAGCCGCAGGGCTCAGGCCAGGCCAATCAGGGCCCAGGAGAAGTGAGGATGCTGGGGAACTGTGGGTCATGCATCAAGTAGGCCAGGCTACTTTTCTGCAGAGAGAAGAAGAATGCACAGTGAGAATAAGGGCACGTCCGGAAGGATGGCTTCAGTCAAGCTCTGAGTCTCAGAGAGAAGATGGGGTCCCAGGATAGGAAAGAGAGGCACTAGCGCTTGTCACGCCCTTGTCAGCCTGTCGGCCCTTACCTGGCCCCAGAGCCAGCATTTCAGCTAAGCAGCTGCATCCCCACCCTGCTCACAAAGCGGGGCTTCCAACCCCAGGGGCTGCGCCTGCATTTTTCTGGCATCCTCCTTCCCTCCCCCAAAGATGCCTGCAGTCTGCCAGCTGTCTGAGAAGACTGTCCCCTGGGCATTGCCGAAGAGCCCTCTCCCTTAGTCCCCTTCCCAAGTGGTCATCTCAAACCAGGGAATCACACCAGGCAGAACGAGGTGGGACCATGTCCCATAGTTTAAACTCAGGGGACAATGGTTGGGGTCATCTGGGAGAATGACCCCTGAGTCCAGAGTCAGGATCGGCCACTTCCGTTCTGCCCTATCATTTCCAAGCAATTTTTATGATTCTGGGAAGTTGTTTATTCTCTCTGACTCTCACTCTCTTCGTGTTAATCTAAGGGGGTTGATCCAGCCTTTTGTAAAACCTCTCTGGCTCTCATATCAGTAAATAGATGGTTTGCAGTTGATCATTGATCAGTGTCATTATTGTTTCTATTTATTGCTAGAACGCTTCACTTGTGTCCCTGGAAGAAAGTGTAAAGTGAGGGAGGGGCGAGCCACGCCGCCCCACCTGCCCCAGGACTGACCTTCACAGACCACAGCCACATCTTCTCTGTGGTCACAGTTGTGGTAGCCCCACAGCCTGTGTGAGCACTGCTCCAGGGACTGCTCCTTCCCTGAGCAGCTGACCTCATCAAGCCAGATGCGGCCAACACCACGGCCAAACCTTTTCGGGACAGGCAGAGAGCGGGGCGCCCCGCAGCCCAGCTGCCTGCACACCACCTGGTCCGCTTCTTGTCTCCAGTTGTCGTCACAGACAGTGCCCCACTCTCCCTTGTGCAGCACCTCCAGCCTTCCCTCACAGCCGTTGTTCCCGTCTGCCAGCCGCAATTTAAAGGGATCTGTGGGTGCAGGAGGAAGAGCAGGGTGGGGCGAGGCAGAGGAGAGGATAGGCAAGCGCCTCTGAGCCGGCATTCAGATCCCATCAGCACCTGAGACTCTCCACCGAGTCTCTGTGGGTATACCCCCTTCTCTGGGCCTGACCTTGGGGTCCCGGTCCCTTTCCTTAACTAGAATTTCCCACCTCCCCATCTAGTTTACAAAAATGTGATGTTAACAGGGGCGCCTGAGTGACTCAGTCAGTTAAGCATCCGACTTTGACTCAGGCCGTGATCTCAAAGTCCGTGAGTTTGAACCTCGCATCAGGCTTGCTGCTGTCAGCACAGAGCCTGCTTCCGATCCTCTGTCCCCCTCTCTCCCTGCCCCTCCCCCACTTTCACTGTGTCTCTCTCTCAAAAATAAACATTGTTTAAAAACTTTAATAAATGACTTTCCACTAGTTTTTAAAAATCGAAGAGCTCAACAATACATGGAATGGTGTGTCCTGTTCCTATTACATAGAATTCAATATGATAATAGTTCATATTAATACAGTGCTTAATATGGCCTAAAGCACTTCCATATACGAAGGCATGTATTATTGTCTCCATTTAAACTGTTTTAAGTGTTTTATTTATTTTTGAGAGAGACAGAGACAGAAACAGCATGAGCAGGGGAGGGGCAGAGTGAGAGGGAGACACAGAATCTGAAGCAGGCTCCAGGCTCTGAGCCGTCAGCACAGAGCCCCAAGCGGGGCTCGAACTCATGAGCCATGAGATCATGACCTGAGCCAAAGCTGGACGCTTAACCGACTGAGCCACCCAGGTGCCCCCATTGTCTCCATTTAAAAAGCAAGAGAATTGATGGGCAGCCCAACTAAGTAACTTTATCACTGTCATCTGATGGATGACTGGTTCTCCATGAACATTGGTGAAAACGAATCCCATTGGCCCAAATTCATGACTGAACTTGCTCTGGGCTCGTGGGCATTACCTTCACATTCGACCCACACGTCCTCATTGTGGGTACAGTTGTGTTCCCAAACCTCAGAAGGGCAGTCCTCAAGGCTCACTTCTTGTCCTGAGCATAACGGCTTTCTCAGCCAGATGGCCCCTTGGCCCTGGGTCGCTTTGTTGCAGCTTTTCTGGGTCAGGATGGCTCGTCCACACCCCAGGTGCCGGCACACGACCTTGGCAGCTGCGAAGCGCCAGCCTGCTTTGCACACAGAGCTCCAGTCTCCTTGGAACTTCACCTCCACGCGGCCCTGGCAGCGCGTGGGGCCACCGGCCAGCCGCACGCTCTCCGGGACTGTGGGGAAGGAAACACCAGGTGTCTGCTCACCCAAGAACATGGTGCTCCCAGAATAGGGCCCCATGGACACATCCCTCTGCTCTTGACACTGAGTACAACGTTTCGAGGCGTCACCTCGTGGGTACTTGTAGAAAAAGGATTGACCAGCAAGTCGATGGACTGAATGTAATTTTTCAGTTCCGAGTGCACTAATTATTTCTGTAACATTTTTAGTTTTTCAAATTATTTTCACATTGATTTTCTCATCTGTTCCTCATGAGAGGCAAGCAGAGGCATTGCATAGATTTTTTTAAAAATAAATGAAATAGTAGTGTACAAATGTGTCCAAGACCAAAAGCTTTCTGGTTTGTTTTCAGCATTATCACCCAAGTATCGAGGATCAGCACTCCCGACCTCAACCTCTCCAAGAAATAGGAACAAGATCCCAGCATCAGGCAGATTGAGTGGTTGTGTCCCTGGTTACAGTCTGCAGGGTGACAGAGAGAACATGGAGCAGCCTAACCCTAACCCCCGCCAAGCCACAGTCTAATGGGGAGGAAGTGCACACGGAGAGGGGATTGTTAACGCACAGGAAGAGTGAAGGAATACGGCAACTGTATACACAACAGGCTTGTGTCGGTTTCCTAGGGGAGGTTCCTGTCCCCTCTCTAGATGGTGGATTCTTTGAGAACTGGAAGAGCATGCATCATACTTTGCTTTTTTTCCTAATGTTTATTTAGTTTTGAGATATAAAGAGAGACAGAGTGTGAGCAGAGGAGGGTCAGAGAGAGAAGGAGACACAGAATCAGAACCAGGTTCCAGGTTCTGAGCTGTCAGCAGAGAGCCCAGTACAGGGCTCGATCTCACAAACTGTGAGATCATGACCTGAGCTGAAGTTAGACCCTTAACCAGCTAAGCCACCCAGACACCCCCGTACTTTGTGGGTTATTTTTTTAGCACCAAAACCCAGGAAGCATACATACTTCACAGCTCTTTGCTTCCCCATACCTCCTTCCGAGCTCCATACGCAGGTTACACTTTCACCCAGCATTTACTGGTTGAGGGATCTGTGCATGCTCGTGTGCTCGTGTTTGTGTGTGTGTGTGTGTGTGTGCGCATGCACACAGGGGCACAAAGGAGAGAAGCAGCCCTTCATGCAGGTTGAAACCTAAGAGCACGAACAATACTAGGTGAGGGCAGGGTTCACCCACAGGGCCCACAATCAAGACGAGGTGAGACGCAAAGGGTGAGGAGCCAGTTGGCCACGCGTCGAGTCCATGATGGGAGTTAAGACAGGTAAACAGTCCGAGGGGCTGTGGTACTCACGCTCACACTCAGCTCCTGCATCCTCATTATGTAAGCAGTTGAAAACATCTTCCCCTTCACACTGAGACAGGCTCTCTTCCATCCCACTGCATCCGACCATTTGGATGAGGACTTTTTGGTCCTTTGGTGCCACTGGCCCAAATAGAGTGCCACTGGTTGTCTTCTTGGCTGCTCCACAGCCCAGCTCCCGGCACACCACGGCCACATCGTTCATGTCCCAGCCGTCATCACACACGGTGCCCCACTCGCTGCCCTGCAGCACCTCCACGCGTCCTTTGCAGCGGTGGTCACCCCCCACTAGCCGCACTCTGGACAAAGACCCTGCAAAGGAATGGGAGCTTGGCTGGGCATCCACAGAGCCCAGAGAGAACGCAGGCATCTTGGAAACCTTCCATCACTACAGAGGGGCATTTGGAAAGCTGGGGAGTGGGAAAGGGGGGCTCAAAAGAAAAGGGGAGGGAAAGGAGCTTCAGGACCTCATCCCCGAGCCCCAATTCCGCTCCACTTTGAATTTACCCCGCCAAGAAACTTGGCTGCGAAGACACCTACAAATCCATGCTCACACAGCCAGACAATGGAAGCCCCAGGTCAGAACACAGTGTAGAGGTGTTCTCTGGTGCCTTCTCTCTTCTTGACTCTGTCTCTCCCCATGGCCACCAGATGAGGCAGGCTGTTTGATATACTTTGGGCTGAACATGCTGACTCTCTGTCTCTCCCAATATCAACCATCTCCCCTACCTTGCTGCTCCCTACATTTTCCCATGTCCAAGGACGCAGCTCAGAGGAATGCAGAGAGCAGTAGGCAAAGGGCCAGAGTCTTTGCACATCTGAGCCTCGATCATTAGTCCAAAGTGTTCCAGCAGCTGGGGTAGGAGACAGCCTCCCAGAGCCTCCAGATAATTCCTGAGGAATCCAGGACCTGTTTCTGCTTCCTGGCTACAACTCTGAGGGTGGAAAAAACTAACTGAAATCCTCTCCGTCTTCCAGCAAGACATAGATGGAGATGGGCAATGGCCGTGAGGAGGGCAGAGAAGAGCTTATCAGGCAATACACTTTCATTGAGCACATACTATGTTCCAGATATTGGTTCATGAACTCAGAGAACAGTGACACACAAGACACTGCTGCCCTCAGGGAGAATATATCTAAGAGATCTGAGGCAACCCCAGCTGGTCTGCCGCAGCCCCCGAGTGACAGCGTGACACAGAGGAGTTGAGTCGGCCACACTTCCACCTGGTGGGGCAGTTGGCCTAGACAGGTCTGGGGCACCACACGTACCTGCTGGTCTGTGACCTACTGGGATGCCAGCAGTGTCACCTATGACCACGTGGGAAATGTGGGTGACTCCGGCACCTGCAGGAATGGAACATGACCTCAGGGGAGCACATCTCTCACTGTCTGCCTTGTCTCTGAAACACAAACTCTCCAGAACCTGCAATTGACCCCAGAAGTGGCTGAGTGAGAAAACACTGCCCTGGCTGACTTCAAAGTGCTTTGGAAGTTGACATTTGGTTTGTTCGCTTGTTTTTGTGTTTCTCCTTTTCCTGCATGTGTCTTTTGTGGGAAGCAATATGAGGAATGGAGGCTAGAGACAGAAATTAGAATGGAACTACAAAAAACTAAGAAAGGGTTTCATTTTTGCACACCTAAGTTCACAGTTTTTAAATATAACTCAAGAGGAGTCACCCAGAGATGGCATTTCATTGCAAGAGTGGCATTTAGACAGGCATTATTGTGTCCTCCAGGAAACACTAGCTACACACATTATCTGATTTTGCATTGTAAAATTCTGGCTCTAAATGAGTTTTCTTTTCCGTGGAAAGGAGGATTAGAACTCCTCCCAGGAAAGAAGAAATATGTAAGAAAGAAACAGCATTAGTGTCAAAGAAATCCAACTGAGAAGAGATCTGAAAGCCAGAGAGAAGGGCAGAGGGGCTATTGGGGCAGCTGCGTCCCAGGCAGTGTCCCCAGCCTGCTGTGTGGGCTGACGGCCCCAGAGCGGAGCCCAGGGTAGAAGAGGAGCATCCTGGGCCATGGGAAGCTGTAGAAAAGCGTCCCTGCACCAGCAGCGAGGACAGCCCCGGCCCCCACAGGAAAAAGCCCACGAAATCTGTGTCGGCCTGAGAACCCCAGACGGAAGTCCCAAAGGAATCGAACTGCACCCTGAAGGTGTGGGGCCCTCATGTCCACAGCAGGGTTTGCGGCTGCCCCTCTCTGGTAAAGCCTCCACCATCCAGAGAAGGAAGAACAACAGGGTAATATCTAAGGAGCTGAAAGTCCACAACCAAGCCCCTGGAGTGCGGAGCATCACAGTCTTCCTCTCGACAGACCCATTCTACGTGCAGCTTGTATGTTGCCTAAGGATGCCTCATTCAAGTGGCCGGTGGAGGTGGAAATCCAGTCTTCCTGCTGCTGGTCAAGCTGCATGCCGCATACAAGTAGACACATTTCTAGTTGAAAGGTGCCATGCAGGCTGCCACAGCCTGCTAGAAGTGCTAGAGCCCAGCAGGGCGAGAGGAAGCTCCTCACCCAGATATGCCCACAAAGGGGTGAGGTGACTTCCGAGCCCCAAACAAAGCCATCTGCTTCTTAGAGGTGCCCAAGTGCCACAGAGGCCAAGTGGGAGGGAATCCCTTTTCAGGAAATGCCACCCAAATCCCTTCCAGGTTCTGGAGGTGGAAACCCACCCACATGAGACTGAGTGGGTGGATTGAGAAACTGGAAGGGAAATCTACCAGGGCTGTGCTGGATAGAGCCTCTCTCCACGCCCCAGGAAGCTTCACATTTTCCATCTCTGGAGCTTGGAGGCCTCCCTCTCAAGGACCCCCCAAAAAAATCTTACCTAAACTGCCGGGTCCAGTGCAAATGGCTGAGGAGAGAAGAAAGAAGTGAGTGAGATCATATAGTCCACTTCCAAGGCTTTGTTCAAACAACACAACTCTCTAGAAATTTTTTGCTAGCCTTTGTGGGGCAGCTAAAGTGTGGGTACAGAGCCTCCAAAGTCAGTCCCATGGCGACATTCTCCTGCAAGGACTCACAGGCTGGGAACCACAATGATGGATTCTAGCACAGCCCATCATGTTCCCTGTACATGCGACATTGGCTCTGTCCCAGGGGCGGTGTGCAGACTCTGGACTCCACAGGAAGATGGGTCAGAGGCCATCGGAACTGGGTCTGGTGCAGATGGCAGTGACCCCACCGTGGAGGCTCAGGGCAGGGGAAGTGGGAGGAATCATCTATGTTCACTGGCACTGCGTTCGGGCCACAGCCAGCATACCCTTTCTGTAAAGGGGCAGATAGTAAATAATGTGGGCTTTGTAGCCCTTTGGTCTCTGTTACCACTGCCCAACTTTGCCACTGTAGCATGAGAGCCGTCACGTATCTGAGCATGAATGAGCATGGCCATGCTGCAACCAAACTTTATTTATAGACACTGAGAGTTAGATTTCTGTGCACAAATATTATTCTTCTTGTGATTTTCCCCCACCACTTAAAAATGTAAACACTATCCTTAGCTTCAAGGCTGTAGTTTGCTGGCCCCTGATCAACAGGTCAGAAAGCAGCTCTATATTTGGTTCCAAATCCCCAGACTTAAGCACCAGCATATCTTGGGACATCATAGTTTCTTCCTACAGGACCTCTGGGTGACCAGGCTCCTCCATGCTAGGCTCCCTTCTAATGCTGCTGAGTGTCTTTTTTTTTTTTTTTTTAATTTTTTTTATTTATTTCTAGGAGAGAGAGAGAGTCAGCGTGAGCAGGGGAGGGTCAGAGAGAGAGGGAGTCACAGACTGAAACAGGCTCCAGGCTCTGAGCTGGCAATCAGCACAGAGCCTGACGCGGGGCTTGAACCCATGAACCGCGAGATCATGACCTAAGCGAAAGTCGGACGCTTAACCGACTAAGCCACCCAGGCGCCCCAAGTCTTTTAAAGAGACTCTTAAATACTGAGAACAAACTGAGGGTTGATGGGGGAGCGGGAGAGGGGAAATTGGGTGATGGGCATGGAGGAGGGCACTTGTTGGGATGAGCACTGGGGGTTATATAGAAACCAACATGACAATAAACTATATTTAGAACAATAAAAATAAAATAAAAAATAAAAAAGAGTACATTTAGGGAAATTTATGTAAAGGGGGAAATGGGATAGACTTATAAGTTTGTCAGGGCAAATAGAAAGAAAAAAAAATCTGGTGATCACAGTGGATTATGAATTGGATGTGGACTGAGCAGCTTTAGGTTTAGAACATTGCCAGACACAGAAAGGGCAGGAGAGCAGGGGGAGCTGCCCCTTGAAAGGGAGCAGGACTGGGGGGGCGGGGGGGGCAATCTCCTGATCAAGGTTCTGGGGGGCTTTGAAGCCTCAGCCAGCAGGGACCGAGATACTCACCGAGGATCAGGGAGAAGAGCAGAGCCATGAGCCAGGCCGAAGGAGGGGCTGCGCTGGAATCTGAGGCTGGGAGAGGCCCCAGAACAGGCTACAGAGCACCACAGGACAGAGGTCCTGTCTGCTGCAGGAGCCTTATCAGATGACCAGAAGCCAACGGGCTCAGGGGGTGGAGCTGGTGGAGCTGTACTTGCTGAGCTCAGCAAATTCCCAGAGGAAGGGAGGTGGCCAGAACTGGCAGAAAGATCACAAAAACAGAAGGAAACAACAACCGCCCCCCCAAGCTGTCCTGACTTGGTTGTGCTGTAATCTCAGCCCCATCCACCTCTGCTCCAGTCCCTTCACTGCGTAACCACGGCAAACCCCGAGGGAAGGCGGGGACCAAGAATGGGGCCATTTCACCTTCTAAGATCAGGAAACCCTTGACCTCTGTGTGGGCTCCTGAGGGCGATAGACCAACTTTGTTTCCTTCACCGCAGACAGAGGCACCAGGAGAATAAAGAAGACTATGGAATAAATCCAGACGTGCCCTTGGAGGCACCGTGACTCAGAGTCAAGGCGTCAGTCTCTACATCTAAGGCCTCTTTTCCTTCAAACCAGCTCTTCCAGCGCAAAGAGAGAGCTTAGTACCTGGATCTGCTCTTCTTCGGTACTTGTCCTGGTTTATGCTCATCTTTGGAAGCTGAGCAGAAGGAGGTAATGAAATCAAGTCATTCTTAGGATCAAGATGTGATGGACAACAGTTGAGTGTAGAGACGCCCAGTCTTCTCAGCCTCCCCTGCTTTGCTCTAAAGCACAGCTGTGTGTCCAGAGCTACTCAGTGCTAGACTACGGAGGGCTCAAACACATAGGCTGCTCTTGTTCCACAATGAAGCATCTACGCTTCTCTGTAATGCTCAGGTCACTCTGCACAAAGCTTGGTTCCCTTTCTGAAGCATTTCTTCACTTAATTATTACTACATGCAGCAAAGAGTTCTGAGCAGCATGAGGGCTGGATGAATGCAGCGGGTGCAAGGAGGGCACTGGTGGAGGACATGGTCCTGCAGCTGTGACAGCGTCTGAAAACAGCCGAGAGAGCAAAGTATACGACACTTTGGGAGCACCGTGGAGGACGTGGGTACTTCCACTTGGGGCTGAGCAGGCACTTCACAGAGGTGTGGGGCAAGTGGGCTGGAGAACTAGAGTGGGAATGGCTTTGCTCTGCATGTGCAGACAGAACAGTCATCTACCCGAGCAACACAGGCTGGTCTGGAAAGGCTGGGTCTCAGCCCACTTCATGGTCAGGTTCCGGGGAAACTGGTGTTGAACAATGCACATAGTGGAGGGTCTATTGCAAATGGGTCCATAGATGCTAATTACTCACATCCTCACTCTCCAAATTTGAAATGATGCCTTAACAGACCCAGAAGGCAGCAAAGCCTCAAAACAGCTCTCCTGTTGATGACTCTCCATCAGGTTGCGACTGGGAGCTCAGGTCTTGTGCATGTACCTTCACCTTCAGGATGCAGACCTGCCCTACAGACTTTACACTTGGAGAAGAAAAGACCTGCTGTGGCCCATGAGCCCACCAACCAGCAGGGAGCTCAGGGCTCCGGTGCAGAGATATTTCTCCCCCATCATGTGGGACATTGGGTGAAAGAAAAGAGAGAAGATAAAGATGAAAGCTTACTCACCAATTTAACATTTTATTAGCAGAGTCAGGAACGTGAAGAAAGGAAAGGAAGGCCATCAAGGAGCTGCCGTGTGATGTGATGCATGTGGCATTCGTGTTCTGACTACAGCATCAGGGACAGCAGGAAATGTAGCCCCAGGGAGGCTCCCAAAGAGACACCAGTCCAGGGGGAGCTGGCGGGGGCTGTTGAGTGAGAGAAGGGCTATGAGAGATAATTAACCATCAAATCTATAAGGCTTTGCTCTTTGAATGTTGGTGATTTAAGGCAATTCTCAGATTTCTAGAAGGGGAAAATGTGACAGAGGGTGAAAATACCTATAAATGTCAGCAACTGCTGGTGGAGAGTGGAGATGGCACGTCAGTCACAGACGTGGTGTCTTGGGTGTGTCATGAGGGATAAGTGGCTTCTGGGGAACCAGGGGGGCTGGACTGGACAGGGGCTCTGAGAAGTGGGCAAAGCCGAAACTATCACAGAGAGGAAGGAGACCCGAATGGGGGTGAGCAGTGGGACTGTTTTCAGCACCTGGCTGGACACCTGCATCTGTGAGAGGCCCCCTGTGTCTGGCCTCTAGGCCCTGTCTGCAGTCAGAGGTGGAGGTAACAATGTGGGCCTAATGGATCCAGACTTGGAGGCTAGTCAGGAAAGCCTGCTGAGAGGTGATCACGCCGGGGTTCAGACCAAGAGAGCAAACCAAGTGGCTTGCAAGATGTAGAGGAGGCCAGAAATGGGCTGAGAAAAAGTGAAAACAGAAACGAGCTGTGGAAAAAGGGATATCTCTGAGGAAAGGCAAGGAAGGCCCACGTTAGGAGGTTCACGGTATGGGAAGGCACTGGAGACTTGGAATGTGGTGTTTAGGGACTTAGAGGAGAAGCAGACCTGGGCAATGATGAGTCCCGAGCTAGAGGGCTGGGTGGGAGCCAAGGCAGGAGTTTCAGAAGCTGGAAGTTTATGAGATTGAGGAAGGGCTATAGTAAGAGGCTTGTCTGGATGGGGACTGTGGGCTGGGGTGCGGGGGTGGGAACACCCAAAGCTATGTGGACGTAGGTCGTTGTCTGGAGGAATCCATCCATGACATACCTCAGAATACAGAAGACACTTGAGAATGCTATCGAAGGATGAGCTACCTGTTATGGTTTAGCATCAAGGCAAAGCCCCCCTCCAAGTAACGAGTGTGCCAATTATTAGTGGTCTCTGTGAGAGCAGGGGACCACCCACCTCGTTCCTCCTCATATGCCCAGAGTTTGACGTGCAGTAAATGATCGCTGACTCTGTGACTGAATGAATGATTGTACTGTCAGCCAGCAAACATCATGGAATCTTTAGAACCATCAGGAACACCACAACCTTCCTGTTCTGTCCATATTGCCTTGTTTGGGCTGGGGGATAGAGGCCACGGGACCTCCAGGAGGAAATATTAGCAGGACATAAGTATTCTGTCCACTTGGGGTTTTCCTGATCAAAGGAAGGTCTGAAGAGCTAACAGGGAACCAAGTCTACAGGAATCCACCACCATAATGATGGATGGATTATTTTTCCAAGGGGTTCATCCCACTCAGTCTTTGGAGGACAAGGCTTTCATGTGCACCTGTCTTATGTAGGTCTGGCTTCAGGAAAGGGGACTGGTGAGGGTCACTCGGGTGTGGTTTCTGGGAGGAGAAGGTAAGGAATGGCATTCCGAGATATTTGTCAAAATGACTAGGGTTCTCTTGGGCTGAATTTTTAAAAGTAATTGATCTAGAAATTAGGATTGAGGTGGGTTTGGCTACTCTTCCCTGTGAACATCTGTAAACACCTGTAAATACTACCACTGATCCCTCTCTGTTCCTCTCACTTATTTATCTGCCTCTTCCTGCATAGTGTCCAAGACTGAGAAGGAGCTCAAAACCAGGAATAGATTGAGGACTTGGGGTTGATGGAGGGTAAGCACAGTTCTCGGGCATTTAGAGTGAAATTGTTCTGTGAGACAATTCTCAAAGAGAATTCTTGTATCTCAAATATCTCTTGTTCTCAAGGAGATAACAAGACCTACATATAGGAACTATGGGAAAATATGTTTTTTCAACTCATCATGAAAACAATCTAAGGACAGAATGGGTTGTCCCAGAGAACATGAACTACCCATAACTGTAGGTGTTTAGTCATATTGCCTGTTAATAGATATTGTTATTTATGGGTTGTTGATCATTATTTTTTAAAATTTTGTAACATTTTTTTATGTATTTTTGAGAGACAGAGAGAGAAAAAGCATGAGCAGGGAAGGGTCAGGGAGAGAAGGAGACACAGAATCTGAAGCAGGCTCCAGGCTCTTAGCTGTCAGCACAGAGCCCAATGCGAGGCTCAAACTCATGAACCATGAGATCATGACCTGAGCTGAAGTTGGATGCTTAACCAGCTGAGCCACTCAGGCATGCTTATGGTTTGTTGATGATTATTAATGATTTTTTTTTTTTGGTCACCAAGTCTCAGGGCTATACAATTATTCTCATCAGTGTCAGGAAAAAGATCCTAAAAGATTCTTTAAAAACCAGTAGCAAGTTGTCAGTCTGGGGGCCCATGTACGTGCTGAGGGACAGTCAGGACACCTGGGCTATGGCCTCTCTCAGGAGAACAGTGAAGCTGTGGTGGCCTCTTATTCTTCAGGCAGAAAAGAGAAATCAAGAGAGAAGGACTGGGAGTGAGTCAGAAGAGTGGGGTCCACAGAGAGAAGACCTTGTAAGGTGGGCTGTACCTGTCTGCACCCTGCCCGGCTGTCCAGCTCCAGGCCCAGAAAGCTGGTCCTGACTGTCCTGATGGCCCTGGTGAGCTCTGCCCTGGAACTTAAGCCAGTCTTTTCTCAACTTGCCCGGAACCGTCCTCACAAAGAGGCATCGCAGTGTAGAGGCTAAGACCACGTGATTTGGAGGCAGATGGACCTCAGTATCCTGTTAGCTCTTCAGATCTTCCTTTGAAGGACACACAAACCCCACGTGGACAGAATACTTATGTTCTGCCAGTTTTTCTCAGTTTTAACTGACTTTTAACTGAGTTTTAACTCAGTCGGTTAATAGCTGTGTGACCTTGAGCAAGACACTTTGGCCCTTTGCAAATCGCTTTGTTGGCTAGGGTTTATACCTTTTTTTTGCTAGAATGATCAGTTTTCATTTCTGCCTTTTATTGAATAAATCTTTTACTAATTTAATCTTGCTTAATCCGCTTTCATGTTCCTCTTTTAAATGGGAAACAAAAAATGACAGCAAAGCAAGTAACTGATGGGGTAACACCTCAGATAAGCACCGAGCAGGGAAAGCCGGTTTACTTCCTTGTGCGAAGTAACCTTACTGGGCTCTTTTCTGTCCCACAATTCATTCCCTGAACATCCCTGATCCTAAACCTAGTTTCTATGAAAGACAGACATCCCCATGTTGAAAAGTCCCTTGTCTGGTAGCACAAGAATAAATATTCCAGGACAGGGCCAGG